CTTGCACAGGTCCTTGACATTGACGTCCCATTCCTCGAATTTGGCGTGCAAAGCCCAGTTTCCGCTCTCATGGCGCAGTCGACGCGCCTTGTATACGAGAAGTTTCGGGGGGTAGCTTTCGTCGATGAAGATGACCGCAAGCAGGAGGAAAACGGCCTGGAGCATTCCTGTAAGATATTCGGTCCAGCGCCAGCCCAAGAATGACTGCTCTGTCACAGCAGCAGAGACAATAGGACCTAGATTCAATGTTAGTGAAACCAAATTTTCAATGTGTGGCGATTACTGATCTTGCTTACCCAAAGAAGGGCCACCGACGACAGCCATTGCGTAGCCAGCCATGGCGATACCTCTGTATGCTGGAGAAAACAGATCACCCAGTACACCGCCCGTGTTCGTAACAGGTGCGGATGAGAAGAAGGCTCCCCAGAAACGGGTCAACATGATGGTTTGAAGGTCTTTAGCCGTAGCAGTTGCGAAACTGAAGCAGATGGCAACAAACATGGGAGCCATGACGGCAATTCGGCGGCCATAGACCTCACTCAATGGTGCCCATAGTAAGGGACCAACACCGAAGCCGAAGAGGAATAATGTGGTTCCCAGTGTTGCAACCTGCGTTCCAACGTGGAATTCTTTGGCGACCTGTTGCGTACCAGCAGAGTATGCCGATGAAGCCCAAGTCGCCGTCATAGTAACAAGGCCATAGAGCGCCGTGGTGAGCACCTTTTTGTGCGTGGGCCAGTTGAGAGGGTGGTAGGGGTCATCAGGGCCGTCGAAATCGACAATCTCGTCCTCTGTTGTCGGGATATGCGCAAGGGGATGTGTAAACCGAATATCGGGTCGCGAACGAATACGCGACAATACTGTGTCTCGCCGGGACAGGGTACGATCCAGAGCAGTAGCTCTTGCAGATTCAGGTCGAGTTCGGATCTTGCTAGCCTGGGATGTATTGGTCCGGATCTCTTGGAGAGCGGGTCGATGACCATCAAGGTCGTCTTCCTTTTCTCTGTCATCTAGACTGTGAATGCTGGTTCCGCTCTCTTCATTTGGGCTTTCGTCAAAGGCAGCTGCATCACTGGTCTGAGACTGTGAATGTCCAAGTACTTGATTTTCTTTGTCTGCCATATTGAGGACTGTAGCACGTGAGGTTCGTTTAATTGAAAAACGAACTCAAGCATCACTAGCGTATCTTCAATCCGGCATCCATCATCGTGGGAGCGGGAGCATCCATTTATATAACTACCGGTACGAAAATCCCTGATCAAAAAGACAGCCGAAAGCCGGGAGAAAATTTCCACAATATTCGACCGCTAATCGTCGACCGCTAAATCTACAAACTTCAAGGCCAACAATGGGCGAAGAAAAAACATGATCCCAGTCGCCTTCGATATCTGCCGTCGCTATTTCCGATCCACACCCGGCTAAGTCTGCCGATTGTTAGGGGCTGCAGCTGACGTCAAAGGCCGACTTGATTTCGACAAGGGCGACAAGGGCCGGAGAAAGACGTAAAAGCGAGCCGAGGACGGAGCCGATGCCAAGTCATTATTAGCAGCTCTTTAGTAATGTGTGGGCTTAGTCGGTTAGAAGCCGACTTGACCATTCTTATTCGGCTACTTACTTTGATAACGCAGACTTTGAGGTCTCTTTGTTCCCGAGTTGTGACAAATCTTCCAAAGAAGGAATGTAAAATGCGACGACGAGTCAGAAATGGCGCTGACAGGGGTAACGTTCAATTGAATTGCGCCGTGCCTTTGCGATATCCAACCATGATCTTTGGCGTTGCGGCTATCAAGGCCAGTGCTCACAACCAAATGCTTATGCACGACGATCAAACGGAGCACAGAGTAACAGCCGAAGAATCTTCTTATCGACCAAAACAGTGGAGACTGGCAACTGACCCCTTGGATCATCCCGCTTATTACTCGCTTCCTTCGGTTTGGTCGTTTGCCAAACACGCGAAACTTGATTTGCTGCTGACTTGGCTGTGCAGACACGAGTCAACGGAAATCGATTACAAAAGCTATCAACACCAACCGCCTGATCACTCTTTGTAATTAATTCTGCTGGTGAGTAGGCCTTAATATAATTTGTAAAAGGCATAGGCACAACGACAGCCTGTCAGAAAAATGGCGACTCTTTGCTCGTAAACCAGTGAGACATTGACTGAAACCGTGAGCACGGCAAATGTCCACAATCAACACCATTTCCTCGCTACCCTACAGGATAAGAAGAAAAGGCAACAGGGTCAATAGATGGCATGCGTAGCATTCACTAGTAATGAAATAGCCGGGTTTTTATCAAAAAGGAATACTCTGGGAATTTTTTTAACATTTCTCACGGGAGTTTACTCGAGATGAAGACACCCTCCGGTGCTTTGTCTATGAATACGCTTTGCGCCAACTGAGTTTTTCGGCTGACAGATCAGTCTCCGATCTGCAAATAGCCGATTGCCTCGGGAAGAGAAGCAAAAAAGAGAAGCATTCACAGAGCTGCAGAACTGTACGGTACATCTGCTTCGTGAGTACGAATGAGAGCATCATATCCGATAGAAATGACAGCTTCATCATATGAGATTTGGCTACAGAGTACAACCAAAAATAGATAAAAGAAGCAAAAAATGAAACTTGACGAGAGTGGGACTCGAACCCACGCGGATTGCTCCACCAGGAATTGCTGTTAAGGTAGCCTTAACCTGACGCCATAACCAACTCGGCCATCTCGCCGATTTCATATTCGGTCTTCCTTTAAAGTATTAGATATACTGTACATCTCCTCCACGACACCAGACAATGGGTGCGAGGATACGGTATTTCTGGATTCGGCCTTGCCGGAATTCTTTTTCAAGACCTTCTTCAAGTACACATAAAGTGGAATTTCTTTCACATAAATAAAGAGAGACAAATAAACGGCAAAATAGATTGATCGATACAACGGTAATTAAAGAATCATGGCCAGAGGAGAAGAAAAACTTATGGTCTTGGGTGAGTTCAAACAGGTATGTACTGTGAAGCGCGTTGTAAGTACATGTGTAACTTGAGCTTCTAGATACAGGTAACCAATTTCAGTGTCTAGACGATTTGACCAACGGTTTCGCCAATAGATTTCTCACAGTTGATATGTATTTAGATTATTGAGAATATCTGTGAGAAGTTGTAAATACAATAGTCTATATAGCGTCCTAAATCGACCTCATATCTTACTCATGAAATGGTCGTCGTTGCCGTGAGATACCCAAAATGCATGTAAGGGCTTGACTATTCTACAAACTTTGCCTGTTGTGCGTTTTTATGCCGAGTCTTTGAAAGCTCCCAATTTGAACAGCTTCTTCGCATTATCCTTTCCAATCTTCCTCACGTCCTCTGCATTCTTCAAGGTAACTCCATCATACCAGTCACAAGCGTCACCAAAAGACTCAAACGGGTAGTCAATTGAGAACAGGATGCGGTCTGCACCTCCAAGCTCTGTGATGCAGTACTCCAATGTGGGTGTTGAGAAATGACCGCTGGTCGTGATCCAGATGTTCTGGGCAAAGTATTCTCGGATCGTCTTCTTGCAATCCAAACCAAGCGGCTTCTTGACGTCCTCGAACCAGTGGTTAATTCTCCACAGGTCAAAGGGGATATGCTCTCCCAAGTGGCCAATGATGATTTGGAGCTTGGGATGTCTGTCAAAGACACCGTTTGTGACCATGCCCAGGAGATGCAGGCTCACACCCTGAGCAAAGCTGAGCGGAGGTCCAATGAGCCACTTGCGCTTGGCCCAGAGCTTGTCGTGAATAGTTCCAGTGGGATTTCTGGGGTGCAGGTAGAAGGGAACATCTAATTCGGTGACGGTGGACCAGAAAACATCCCACTCAGGTCCGTCGTAGAAAACCATGTCATCTCCATCGGCACCAGCTCGCTGTGTGTCATTGACAAGTGCACCCTTGAAGCCCAATTGGGTTACACATCGTTTTAGCTCTGCCGCTGCTTCAGCAGGATCATGCATAGACAGAGTGCTAAGCTTCGGTGTTAGCTTCAACCAAAGGATTTAAAAAGTGAATGCCATTCTGCTCAGTACTTACGCCAAGGCGCCAAATCGGTCAGGGTGGTCCTTGATAGCACCAGCAATGTAATCGTTAATCTCAACGGCAAATGTTTGTGCTTCTTTGCTGTCCCAGATATCCTGTACACCTGGCGCTGTGTAAGAAAGTAATGTGTAGCCAACACCATGCTTGTCCATATAGGCGATGCGCGTGTTGGTAATATCTGTCATCTCGTGTGCGTGCTGATCAGGGTTGACGGCAAAGAGCGAAGCCCACCACCTTGTCTTCTCCTGCATGCGAGGTAAGGCAAATGCCTCCTCAAGAGCTACTTTGCCAAGCATGTTTGCGGGTTCAGAAGTTGATGAGTAGGTTTATTTTAAAGATTGTATTAACCAGTGGGGAAGTAGTGTTAGCTATAGACAGAAACAACAATGAGGAAATGGTTATATGCTTGAGCAAAGAATTGATTGGGGACTGAGTATAAGTAAGAATTAGCCCTCCTACACGTCGGCCTCGCGCATTTAGGAATGAACTCCCCAACCGCATTCAAGATCTCAACACGACGCCCCTCATCTGCTGTCCCTCTTCCGCCGGTGGCTGAAGATCAGTTAACTCAATATATTGGCGGATCCTGGCGGATGACGTCCCTTCCTTGGGTGTAGAGCAGCCCCATAACCCATCAAACAGATCGAAGCTAGGAGTAAGCTGAGGGGCTGTGGTGGATTTCGGCCCCGGTGATGCTCTTCCCGCGCTTGAACTAGACCTTGAGGAGGTGACGGAGCGGGCGGCGGTGGGTATCAACGGCTAATGAGCTGGAGATGATTGGATTCAAGGCAGAGGATGCGGGGAAGAGCACCAAAGGGACGATAACCGCACAGTGCATCAGAAGATACACTGTTGGCGGATACAGTCACACTTTGACAGCCTTGATAGCTTGGTCAATGAAGCACGATAACCGGCGTCTCAATCCTATCAACTCGCCGGTCTTGGAAGTTTAACCGCGTCATCACCTAGTGTACGCTCTGCTAACCAAAGTAATCTGCGGTGAACAAATTTGAAGAAGAAGTTGGAAAGCCCCTGTGTCTGGGGGATCCCCCCTGTCTCGCAATGCTCGCAGAGCCCCGAGACACGAAACAAATCACACATGATGAGCCTGTGGTGGCCTGTTGTCGCGTACGACCCCTTCAAGTCATTCTATCGTACCCAGGCTAGAGCGGATAATCGCTAGCCACTGTCTTGGTCTATCGAATTCCCGACGACAAGATGCCGCGGCCAAAGGTTCACCCAAGTCAGCGTCAGCGTGCCGCTGAAGCATGCAACTTTTGCCGCGCGTCCAAGAAGCGGTGCAGTGCCACCGTCCCTTGTACCGCCTGCCAGAGACGGGGCATCGGAGACTCGTGCTATCTCACCCATCGGCCTCGAGGCTCTAGAAGGGTTCCGCCTCGGACAAGGAGCTCGGCCCCGGAGCAGGCCCCGACCTCACCAAGCGGTGGAGACGGTATCCCGGATAGCCTGGATGCCTCGCTGGATCAGCTTCCGCAAGAGTCTGCATGGGGCCGGGCCGGGTTTGGTCAGGTTGTTGCTCCGGAGTGGTGCCCGGAGGATGAACCAGCTTCTATGGACAATGATGCAGATGCCGACTACCAGCCGCTTACTCCGTCCGATTCCCGAATAAGCATGTCCGATGCGACCACGAACAGATCCGCACACCCATCAACGCAATTACCAGCAAGGCTAGGGTCTCCAGCTCTAGAACCGGAGTCTCATGCCCGGATGCTACTGAATCTACGAGGAGAACGAGGTAAGGCGTCATACCATCATCTAAGCACGTTATACATGCATATTCATGATGAACTAATATCGTCATCCCGTATAGTCTATATCGGCGAGGCTGCATCTCTATCGTTCCTTCAGCTCATCAGGGATACTGTGACGGCTCAAATCGGGCCCTCCCAATTTTCTCACAATGAGAAGCGCGATAGTATGCTAGAGACAGAGCCCTCGGCCGTTGACTCGAATGGTTTAGAGCCGTCCAATTGCAACATAGATTTAGAGGGCAGCCTACTCTACGCCCGTACCTTCGAAGCTGCTGTAAGCATGGCAACAAACCCTGCAATCTTTTATTTTCTACCGACAGTGCTGATCATTCATAAAGACGGGTGGGCTTTTAGATATCTTTGGGCCAACAGAAATAGAGGATATTCTGTTAAAGACTGGAACCGATGGGGCTCAGTCTCTCAATCCGTGCCAACATGCTGCCATTGACCTTGTGATAGCCATCGGCGCTCAGTGCAAATCTCCAATGGATGCACAACAGATCGGGCCAGCTTATTTTCGTCAAGCACAACAGCGTGCATTCGCCGGCATGCTGGAGGATCCAAACATTGACATGGTCCGCGCATTTCTTCTAATGGCCTTTTATATGCTTGGCCGCTGTCGGAGAAATACTGCATTCATGTACTTGGGGATTGCATCGAGGGCTGCAGTTGCTCTTGGAATGCACAGCCCACATTCTTACACGGACTTGAAGAATCCATTGTGTCAGTTGAGGTAGGCTGATTCCGGTGGAGCTTCTCACCGTCTTCTAATTAGAGCTAACTGATCTTACAGGCTTCACATTTGGATGAGTCTTTGTGTCTTGGATATGCTGGTGTGCTCTATACTCGGGAGACCGCCTGCAACTGCTGGCCTGAGGGCGGAACTTGACACGAGCATCATCGCTTCATACCAGCCGTTATCCTCGCGGCCCGATTCACGCACTGCAAGTCTGTTTGCGTCGTACAAAATACTTACAATCATCAATGAAAGCGTCGATGCTCTATACGGCAGGAAAGTTGTGTCCACAGGCATGGTGGAATCCTTTCTGAACAAAATCGAAGACTGGAGTAAAGGTCTTCCCAGCTTTCTCCGCAATCCTCTTACATCTAAAGGCTCTCCGTCGCAAAAAGCCGCCACGGATAGCATACACGTCGCTTGTCTCTACTACTTCGCCATCACTCTTGTCACTCGGCCTATACTGATATCCAGGCTCACGTCTCGCCGTAATTCCGCGACACCTTCGTCTTCACCCATGGCATCCGCCTGTCTTGACGCGGCAGTATATCTGGTACAGACATGCTCGGAGGCACACAAGTCAGGCTTATTGCTTGGTAATATGTGCATATTAAAGTAAGGCACATATGTGAGTAGAGTTAGATCACGAGCTAACAATTAGAGTTAGGGCCTTGATATTCGCTGCTGGGCTTATTCTTGGATTTGACATGTTTGCCAAAAGAGAGCTAGATTACGAGGTTGAAGTAGCCTTCCGCAGCGCCAAAGACGTCCTCGACTTCTTGGGCGTTCAAAGCCCTCAAGCCAGCCATTACTCAGAAATTCTAGGTCTTTTATCCAATGCAATCACGAAACGACGGATGAAACTGTCTTCACGCCCTCGAAGTAGGTATGTTGGAAAGCTGGTATCTTTTAGCGACGGAGGAGACTCTAGTCAAGATAACATCACCAACGATAATGAGGCTCTGCCTCTTAATAATACTGGAGGGCTTTCAGTTTCAGTTGGAGAAATTGGTGGAGTCTGGAGCGCCGATCTACCGGCGCAATCTACGGAGATGGATGAAGATATGTTACGAGGATGGGACAGTCTGGATCTGTCACAGTGGGATAGTTTTCCCTTTTTCAACCCAAGGTCGTTCTGGCCCTGAGAGGGTAACAGTCGGTGATTATGACGCACTGATGAGACATTTGTTCTCAAATTTCTGCTGTCTCATATTCTGGAGGTACAGAGTTGCCAATATATACATAGGTAGATAGATTCAACCAAGTACAAGTAACCCAATTTTGGGATCTTATGGATGTCTATGTGCACAATCCCAGCAGGTGGATGGCCTTACACGCCTATGCCAAGTGTCATCCACAGTGCGTCGGATAAAGCACCTTTTCATGCTATGGCTAACACTGATAAGCATACCACAAGAATGTATGTTGGCCGCCTCCGACCATCCAACAGAGCGCTAATGAAGTTTCTATGACAAAGTATGCAGAGGAGTGACGGCCCTAGAGTACGCATCGGTATTATACTGTTCGCTAAGTAAAACGGCGGAGGTGTATAGCCCCTTTCTCTGAGGCTTGTGCCAACCTTGATGCGGCTATAACACCTGTCCATGTGCAAGGGGCATAGCCGACAACATCCGCGATAAGCCTTTCAGCTTTCCCCAGCTCGGCGTTCTATCACAAGGCACTGACGTGAATGGCGGCAAGGGAGAGATAAGGGTGAGAGATGTGATTCACGTCAGGCGTTCGCAACTTGATCTGTGCAGAGTCCTTTTCCGCTCCATGGATGACCGTGTACCCGTATCAGAGCACATGGAGATAGATAAACTTCAGCTTCACCCAACACTGCCGTCGTAGTTTTAACTCTCAAAATATACTCGGGGCAGTCCTATAAGCAAATACAACTACACCGTAATATTATCATTTTTTCTTTACTCTTTCAAAATGGGTTCAAATTTCCCTTCAGGCTGGAGACGCCTCAGTGTCGGAGTCATCGGAGGTGGTATCGGTGGCATGTCCGTTGCTATCGCTCTCCGTCGCGCCGGCCACGATGTAACCATTTACGAAAAGCACGACTTTGCTGGTGAAGTAGGCGCCTCAGTCTCATGTGCTGCCAACGGCACACGCTGGCTTCACGAATGGGGAGTCGACGTAACGAAAGGAGATCCGGTTGTGTTAAAGAAGTTGATCAACCGTGATTGGAAGACGGGCGAGCCAGTGAGCGTCTACGATTTGGATGACTATGAAGAGAAATGGGGATATGTTTATAACATGTTTCACCGACAATACATGCATGCCATGTTAAAGGATTCTGCCTTGGGAGAAGGCAAGGGGACACCGGCGAAGCTAGAAGTGAACCATCAGGTGAGTGGAATGATTGAGTATATTCAGAACCAGGGTGAAATGCTAATACTTCCCAACAAAGTGTCAAAACATTGACATTGATGCGGGTAAGATTACGTTCACCAACGGAGTTACGGCTCAGCACGACCTCATCGTCGGTGCAGATGGCATTGGCTCAGTTGTCCGCAGCGAAATCGGGATTCATCCAGCGAAACGACCATCTGAGCAAAGTTGTCTCCATGCCAATGTTACGACAGAAGAAGCTGTGAAGCTAGGGCTTGTTGACTACTCACAGCACGCCGCCCTAGAATATTGGGGCGGCCAAGAGGGTAAATGGGACAAGATTGTTTTGTCGCCTTGCAACGGAGGCAAGCTTCTATCATACTACTGCTTCTTCCCTCGGTCCGTGGGCGATTACTCTACCCATACTTGGGGAAATGATGACAGGCCGGTGGAAGAATTGCTTGCGCCGTATCCGAATCTTGATACACAAGTGCTGTCACATTTGAAGATCGGAAAAGAGATCCGGCCGTGGCGGCTATGGGTGCAGTGAGTATTTAAGATGACGGAAGCTGCCTTTACCTTGGTCAATCTGCTAATTACCATGGCATAGTGATCCTTATCCTTTTATCCACAAGAACATGGTCTGCTTGTTGGGTGATGCAGGGCACCCGGTATGAATTCACCTTCTTTCAAGGATGCAGTTCTACCAGAACTAACTCAATACCAGATGATGCCCCATCAGAGCCAAGGTGCATGCATGGCCATAGAAGATGCTGCCGCGTTGGGTATTCTCTTCAGCGAAAAGTACTTCAGCGGAGACATTAGCGAAGCCCTCGCGGTGTACGATACAGTCAGACTCCCCAGAGTAACGAGGGTACAGTCAGCCGCCGCAAAGGCAGCATACAACATTAACGAGAGAATTGGTGAGTCGAGTTAATTCATGCCGCTTCATTTCGATAATACAGAGACTAAGAGTTGTCTAGGATTCTCGCAAAATAAGAACATCTCAACATACAAAGTCGAGGACGAGAAAAAGAAACTGACCATTGAAGAGATGAATGCGTAAGTCAGGTAGCCCTGAGCCGCGGTATGAGACTGACAGCTAATAATGAATCAGATATGACATGTACAAAGATATTGAGCAGTCTCTAGCAGAGAAGCGTGGAGCTGCATTCCGTGAAAAGTACATTCATGGACTGCCAGTTGGGTTGGAGCTTCCAAGTGGTATTATCATTGGGCAAGAGGCATGAGATTATACCTCGGAGTAAAATAGTCGTACTATTGACTACAATAAAATTGTAAATATTCATTTAAAGATTCAATTGTTTCTTAGGAAATCCTACCTTGAAGCGCCAATTATTCATGATGTCAATTTAGCTATTAGATTTATGTATCTCTTCAATGGTGCCGTGCGAATATGCTGCTGCCTCATCAACTATTTTAAACTCTACCACCCGATCAATGTTTGTTATACACGTGTATAGGTGCATTTGTCTTTAAGGTATAGTATGTAATGATACTGTTACCAGCAGCAGGTAGAAGTTTTCCCATGGTTATCATATGAACGACGTATAAGAAAGTGTAGTGAACTACATGGAAATTGCATAATATGGATATTGGCTACTATATGAAGAGATACAAACAAACGTATAAAGCTACAATCTTAATTCTCATCCAAATAACTTGCATTCATATCATCGTTAATTCTTCTTCGCTAGCTTCACATTATACTCCAAGTCCCATTCCGCTTGTGAGTCTCCCGTACGAGGCTTGAACTCGACAGTCAATCCATCCTTTACCGCAAATACGCTGTCATCTTCGAGATACTTGGAATCCTTGTCAAATATTTGAGTAGTCAAGGGGCTGTATCCTTCTGTTTGAACCTGTCATTGTAGTTAGAAATACGTAAATTGAGTAACGAAGTACGGCCTCTTACAATGAGATGGATGTGTGCGGGTCTGAACTCGTGGCGATCCATCAGCTTCAGCAACTTTCCTGCAGGACCATCGAAAGGAATCTGGTTTTTTAATTAGTATCAAATTTTCCTTTAGCAAGTTCATTTGTGTCTCAAAGGAATTCTTACGGGATATGGTGTCGGGCGGAGACAGTAAAATGAGTATCGACCCTCTGCATCGGTGATGAACTTGCCGCGCAGATTGCAGTCAATCTGGTCATCATCCTGTTGCTCATACAGTCCTATTTATTTCGCGCCTTATTTAGTGATAATTCGTATTTAGAATCATCAATGTATTCATACCATTTGTTGAAGCCTGCCAAACATCCACTGAAGTGTTTGGGAGGGGTTTGCCCGTCTCAGCGTCCGTCACTTGGCCATGCATGTAAGCTACCAAGCCATCCTTGGGGGTGTTGAATGTGATAGTGGTGCCGTTCTCTCGGATTGGGGCGTCAGCACGCCAAAAGGGCCCGAGAATGGCAGACGATGTGGGTGGCTTGTCTGTCTTGCTGGCTTCTCTGTATGTGATATCATCAACAAGCCTAAAATGTGTTGTGTCAGCTCTTACATCAAAGGCGAACGTCTATAGCGAGTATCATGAGAAGCCACATACGATTCCAGGCCAATGACATCGCACACCAGCTGTCCCTCGTTGCGCTTGTTGTTGCTCATCTGGCCTGCCCAGTTGATCATTTCCACTCCCGCCAACCATTCCTCCGTCGTTAGATTGACCTCGCGCGCAAAGTCATGAACATGCTGTATGAGGGCAGACAAGACAGTCCGCATCCTGGGGGTTGTGTTTGGGCCCATGGCTTGAATAACATGGCTAGTGAACTCTTGGCCAAGGCCGCCATCAGTTGATTGAGAACCCATCTTGAAGATTTTACTGATGTTAGATGAGATTATTGATTAATTCTGTCGGTGTTGTTGAGTTGAGAGGAGAATTGAATGCTATATAACGGGTTATTATTGCCTGGGTTTAAGTGGTAAATGTCAAGCCTGGAGTTCGACCTTATAACTTGAACGCACGGCTATCCGAAGCGATCTGGATACCCGTGCTTGCCGTCCAATTAGTAAATAGACGATTATCAAAGAACGCATAAGCCAAAAATGACGCCTGTATCGTTCGTTTTTCTCGTTCGTTTCGCCTCAGCCATGCCCCGAGTCCTGTATCCGCCTCGCGGGGTTCCCCCGATCCGAATCCGAATGTGGCTGCAGTGTCGGATAACATCCCGGATTTCCTGATACTGGATGGTTCAGAATCTCCCCCGCAAAGGATGAGCGCTAATAAGCCGCTCAGCAGCGGATCATAGTCCCTAAGAGCGCCTGTAGCCCCTCACAGGCCGTGAATTAATATTCGACTCAGGTTGAGTTGGCGGATAAGGGTCCTAGTTCTGGTTGATTGGCTTGGTCTCGTGAGAAGGATGAAATTCCAAGCATAGATGTGCGCTTACGCAATCTGTTTACAGTAACAACACAGCATGAGGGTATATTGAGATTATTTTTGTCATGAAAATTGCTTCATCTATCCATTGCCTTCTAATAAACACCATATACAAATCTACTTCTACTTCAATTGGTAATCCTTTTCCTCGCCCGCTTCCCATTTCGCTTCATCCGAGCCGTTTGGCCGGCTTGCCCTTCGGAATCCCAATTCTAAGCCCTCAATCTCCGCCACCGGCTTCACTGCATGCACTTCCGCCTTATACTTGTCGGCATACCACTTATCCAGATACTTTGGGTTCTCCACAAAGTCGGGATACACTTCCCGCATGCGCCGCAGTACCGTCCCCGAGATCTGGTCTACGCTGTTATGGTAGCGTAAAGCGAGGACCTCTGGGCCCATGGTGTCGCGAAGCTTTTGCTGAACGTGTTCCGGTAGCAAGCCGACTTTGAACAAGAGTAGATCATAATGTAGGAGGCAAACTTTGCCGTGCCAAGAGCCACCACGAGTTGCTCGATGATAAAGGCCGATGAGTGCTGTAATGGCGCCGATACAGCCGGTACCGTAGTCTGAGATGGGAAATGGGGGCACCATGGGTTCATTGACACCCATGAACTTGCCTTGTTCCCACGCGATGCCCGTCACCTAAGGTTATTGTGTCAGTAAGCTTATAACTGAGATATCAGTCAGATGGGGTAGACGGAGGATCTTACGCAGTCTGAAATCTGCTGCCACCCAGGACGAGAAGCCCACTCGCCCTCGTATCCAAAACAATTCTCATTAACGTAGACGAACCCTTTGCCTCTCTTGATCGCCAATTCCGAAAGTTGCTCAGGGCCGTATCCCAGCTTTGCAACCGCTCCAGGGCGGTATCCGTCAACCACAACGTCGGCCTCGGCCAGGAGCTTCTCAAAAGCCTCTCTTCCCTCCGCACACTTGAGATCCAAATCCGTCGCTCGCTTTCCCATGTTTCCGTCCACTTGGAAGAAGGGCACATCGCTGAGATAAGGAGCTGTCACTTTAATGACTTCTGCGCCATATTCACCCAGAATTCTTGTGATCGTAGGGCCAGCAATGATTCGACATAGCTCCAGCACTTTGATGCCGGATAGAAGTCGATTATCTTTAGTCTGGAGAGGTATTTGTGGTGTCTTGTCTTCTAAACTCTCAACCGACCATGGCGGAAGCGACATGTTTGTTTTGCCCTGTTAGTCAGATTAGTATATGCCGCCCTGGGTTTGATTCCATCCTTCGAAACATCAACTTACGTGCGGAGTTTTGAGAAATTCAGCATGTGTATATGCTTTGATCCCAGCTTGTCTATTCTGAGCATTCAACTCCTCTAATTCATCCACCGTGAATTTCTTCACCGCAGATTCAATGGTTTGCACAATATCCTCATGTGTCGCCAAATCAGGCCGATACGGTTCCAATCCAATCATCTTTAGCGTTGTCGACGCCTCCAGTGATCCATGGATATGGTAATACTCATTAGGGTTTTTGGTGGCATACAAATTGGCAGACATGCGGCGATAAGGATCAGACTGTGCCTGCAGGAAATCCGTGTCTACATTCGGCGAGAGTTAGCAAAGTAAGCAGCTCACATAGATCGATACACACAAACCTTTTAGCATGCTCTTGACTCCCTTATCAAGCTTTCCATATCCTCCAACTCTTGCCAAGTACGCTTGAAATAGGAAGGCTGTTGTCTTTTCAAGATCAACCACGATTTTTCTCTCAGGGACCTGTCCATCTTGCAGTGTGTCTGCGAGGAGGGATGCGACCGATGCCTCAATTGCCTTGAGCGCTGCTGTTGTTTCCGTTTCCTTGAATGGGATAGGGAAATAAGGCTGATCTCGTTCCGCGACAAATTGGACATATTCTACCCGGCTCGCTATTCCAGCAGGTAGAGATATAGGATCAAATTGATTGCAGAGGTACTGCAGAATGGTAGAGGCCTCTTTCTTAGAGGAGTACGTATGTATTGACGTTCCATTCATGATTGCGGAAAAGAGCTAATAATATTGACAGCGCTTTTGTTTCTCGTTAAATTTAATCGTTTTGAAGCGATTTTTATAAGTCGTAAACGCCGTTTGGTGATGCTAGTGACGATGTGAAGATGCCCGTGCCGTCAGCTCTGTGATAGAGATGAACCAAATGGAACCCGCTGTCTAATCCTACTTGACTGAAAGGCACAATAAAACAAAGCCAGAGAAATTATTATTTGGGAGATTCTCAGCTGAAAACTGACGGATCCACGATAATGAATTTGCCGCTCAACACGCCTAAATTCGTCTTTGCCATCTCGGGATCCCGTATCCGATTCCCTGAAACCCGGACTCCGACACTCAGTGGGGCCGCGCGCCCTTAACCGACACCTTCACATCTCCGAAAACATCTTACATCATGGGTCTCCCCTCATGCTGATGGCTTTCTGCACAATTATCTATTACCAAGGTCGGATGTCCATCGGCGGAATCGACCAGCCCGAAGGATCTCAGTGAACCGCATCTATCCGCGTGAGTCCCATCCGCCCATCTCTTAACCAGGGTAACGCCCATCCCTTGTGCATACCAGATCAAGAGTTTGAGGCGCTTACTAGCTCTATTTACCTAGGACTATTCAATTGAAAGGATATTCGCTGAGAGACATCCCGAGCCATGCCGTTCCTTAAGCTACAAGACCGAGACCGGCATCTATACTGGACCTTGAATGCGCCTCCAACTACAACTTCATCATCTGATGACAGTATAACAAACATCGTCCTCATTCATGGCTTGGGTTCCTCAAGCTCTTATTATGCTCCGGTTATTCCGAAGCTTGTAGATGCAGGATACACCTGCTTGGCACTGGATTCCCATGGTGCGTACACTACCTATTGATTCTTTCATGCCTTGTAGCCTTTATACTATGCGCTGCTTCTAACTTGAGTCAAATCGATAAAGGTGCTGCATTAACCCCATTGACTGGCCAGGGCGGCAGCCTCGATACTATTATCGACGATATTGGTGCCGCTGTATCAGCTCTCAATATCTCACCCAGTCGCACCGTAATAGTCGGTCATTCCATGGGAGGAATTGTTGCTCCTGAAGCCACTCTTCGCTACAAATTCGCTGGCACTGTTCTTTTGGGCCCTGTTTACCCAAACGAGACTCTCACAAAAGTGCTCCAAGATAGAATTGCCAAAGTCCAACAAAGTGAGAATATGCTAGCCACTCATCACTATTTAAGGCGCTGAGTACACATGTGGTTCAGCACTAACTGGCTAATTTTCCTTTCTTTAGATGGGATGGATCCTTTGGTAGATGTCATTCCCATAGTTGGAACGGCATCCTCATCTACACCGCTGCAACGCGCCTTCATTCGTACTCTGCTGCTGGCTCAAACACCAGAAGGCTATATCGCAAACTGCAAAGCCATTGCATCTGCCTCGATCCCAGATTACGCGAGCATCAGCACCCCTCTCTTGCTCATCAACGGCGCTGAAGATTTTGTTTGCCCGATTGAGCTCTCACAGAAGGTATTTGACAGGTATGTAACCGCATTTTTTTCCATTTATATGGCAAACTGCTTACTCGTTGCAAAGTTGGGGCTCGAAAGACAAGAACCTACAAATTCTCGATAAAACTGGTCACTGGTACTGCATCGAATCACCGGAACAAGTTGGGGACGCTATTGTTAAATTCGTGAGTGGCATCAAAACCGCGTAATCTCTGTAAGGTACATCATAAAGAGTAGTATATATGCATCCAAATATGTTTCATACGTACATCAAGAACAGAACTCAGTACCTCGATCTAAATTTTCGCTTTTGTCTGGCGGTTGTATAGTGCTCTCAGGTCCTTTCTCAGGATTTTGCCTGTAGGACTTCTAGGAATTGCATCAATGAAGATTACACCACCCCTTAGTCGCTTATGATCCGACACCTTGCTTTTAACATAGTCAATAAGTTCGCTCTCAGATATCTTTCCTTTTGCTGTAGGCACAAGGGCAACGTATGCCGTGGGCACTTCTGTGTCTTCTCGATCTGTGCCAATCACTGCAGCGTCAGCAACAGATGGATGTGATGTCAGAACGCCCTCAAGCTCGGCTGGGGCAACTTGAAGGCCCTTGTATTTGATCAGTTCCTGTAAAGTAACTAGTTAGATTCTTGTCATGCTTCTCCGTGAGGTTGAAAGGTCAAGACTCGCCTTCTTTCTGTCTACCATGTATAGCACATCCCCTTCCATTTTGAGAATATCGCCAGTCCGGAACCACCCATCAGCGGTAAATGATGACTTATTTGCTTCAGGATTGTTGTGATATCCTTTGGTAACCATTGGACCTTTTAGTAATGCCTCGCCTGGTTGGCCCTCCTTGACATCGTTATCATTCTCATCCACTAGCCTTTTAGACAAATGAGTTGTTAACTTTTCTTCAGATAAGCTTTGGTTAGTTGTTCTGATCATACCTTAGGCTAACATTTGGTAATAATGGACTCAAGCTCCCCATAGTATCCGTCCGCTCTGGTGGAGTATAAGTAACAGCACCAGTTGTTTCACTTAATCCCCAAACTTGATAAACGATGCCTTTGAGCTTCTTGCTGGCCGATTCTTGTATCTCAAAGCTCATCGGTGCTGCAGCAGCCGTAGCATACTCAACGCTCTTGAACTGGTCCTTGACAGCTGGATGCTTTGCAATCGCCATGTATATAGGCGGTACAGAGAAGAAGAAAGTCAATTTCAGTTCCTCAAAATACCGAACAAAATCATCAAAATTAAAGCTTTGCATCCAATATATGACGGCTCCTTCGTAGACGCAATTTATGAAGTAACTTTGCAAGCCAGCGATATGAGCTGGGGGCAAATGACCGAGCGTGGACCTAGGGAAAGATATGCCCATTTTGGACCATGATTCGCGGCCCATAGTGCTTGGAAGATAGCATTCAGAAACCATGTTCATATGAGATATGAGGACGCCTATGACGACAGTTAAATATCCTTTTCATCATCGCGAATATATGTCCATCTTACCTTTTGGCAGTCCAGTAGTGCCTGATGAGTACATAATGCATACCTTGCTATCTTCAAGCTCTTTCGGATCAGTAATTCGCCTCCAATCCAGTGATCCTTTGAAGTCGCATTCCGCTGTGCCATCGGCGCTCACCAGCTGGATCTCTGGGTATGACTTCAACACGAGAACATTTTTTGCCGGTAACCCGACATTGCGAGCAGCGCTCAAAGCAACGCTTTTCACATCTTCGCTGCATACAACGATCCTACCAGGTCCGTCTTTGATCTGTCTTGTTAAATCTGACACCGTAGAGGAAGGCGACGCGGCTGAATAAATGCCATCCGCAGCAAGCACAGCATAAAATATGCAACCCAGCGCAGATTGCCCAGTAGATATCGTGACAACCACGTCTTTTTCGGGCCCGTCTTTCCCAATGCCAAATTCATGGCGAAGGAAGTAGGCAAATTGGCGCGTTAAATCGCGAGCGCGTGCCTTGGTGATAACATGGGAAGGGTATTTAGCCTCAGCAAATATCGGCGCGTCTTCTTTTGCCTGAGATTCTTCAAATTCTGAGCAAAACGAGTGTCAGTTACTCAAATTGAGATAAAGGCTGTGGCGCTGTGAGGAGTTGGAGATGGCATCGTGCGGAGTAGCCATTGTTACCATACCGAACAAGAGAGTAAGAAGATCCAGGTTGGGAACCTCCATCTGTCTTGGGTTTGAGTATATCATGATGAATGAGCTGGACAAAGTATATGCATATACGCATCTACGAATCAATTCGATCTAATCGCCTTCATACAAATACTGATGTTGCAGGAGGGTGTGTCACTGTATACATGTACGAGTATGTACATATGCCAGCAGGGTGCTTTGGACGCCGCAACTCTTTCTCTTCCTTCCTTCGCTCCATCTCCCCAGCCGCCACTGTCTCACAAAAGCAAGCCGAGGCCCATGCAGCTGAAAAGCAGCGGCAAACTGATTTAATACACTTATCAAGGTATCTTCCTCCACGTATTGTACACTAAATGCGGAGTGTCGGATGTGGTTGGCCAAGCGCATGATCAACATCCTTGGCCCCTCATTGTCTCTTCTGCAAGCTACGCCCAATTTGTTCTTTGAGCATGCAAAATAATCGAGGCTAAATGCATCTACAAGGGGCATGTCTGGGGAATTTACCCCAGTGAAGCGGGGAGCGGACACTTCAAGGCTGCCGTAACCGTAAGGCCACCTGGAGATAGGGAGGTGATATTTTCCTCGTATTCTTACTTACCTGTATTTTGTCTCTTCAGTTCACTCCCAGGGATTTGAGACGAACAAACTGACAAGGCAATCTTTGGACAAGGCCTTCCTCCACTCGTATATCCGACACTATCGCTACTAATCTGAGTCTAACAAGCCCCCTTGCCCCATTCTTCAGCCCGACGCAGCCCGATGCTATGAATTGATGTGTTCAAGCCATCGTTCATTTCAAGAAGCGCCGACCATCGAAGCCTTCATCAAGCAATCCTGCCAGCTCAATAACACGCCGCATAGGATATTGCTATCCAGATAAATACTACAAAATTGGCCTTTTTACTTAGCGCTCTTTTATACTCCTTGGCTGGTAAGAAATAGAACCTTGGAAGGTCATCGTCGATCAAATCCGCTCTTCAACTAGTCTTACGCTAGCTCTTATATAAAGTGAACTATTGCAACAATTCCCATCCGAACCTGCTACAATGACTCAAAGTCATTAATCTTCCGTAGTATAGTGGTCAGTATGCAAGCTTGTCACGCTTGAGACCCGGGTTCAATTCCCGGCGGGAGAGCGCCACCCTTACAAAGGGTTCTTTTTTTTTGTCTATTTCACCTTTATCTTTCGAGATGAATCAATCTTCTTTTTTTCTTCTCATTTATCCTAATAATAATAAACTGTCTCTATTTATGAAATCTGTTTAATCGCTATTGGGTATTTTGTGCTCTCTAAAAGGAACCTGTTCACATAATGCCGATCAATCGCCAAATGAAAGAAAATAATCGCAGTCTTCAACCAAGTCAAAACATCAATTGTTCTCGCACCACCTCTTTCTCAATGCGCTTTCCCACTCCCCAAAGTTCTTCACCATGCCATCAATCCAAAGGATTTCTCCAGTGTGTAAAAACTGATTCAACGGCGGTATTGTAAACCACTCGTGGTCACTGCGGCAAACAACATCGAGTTTGCGATCGCCAGTCTTGTTCCCAGGCTGCTTGATGATTCCATTCAAGCACTTCTCGCAATAAGTGTCCACACAAAGTTGGCACAGGTAGAAATTCTCAGCCATAGAGATGTTGTTCAAGCATTGAGCGCATGCTTTATTGACTGACTGGATATCAGGCAGCTTCGGCTCGACCCTTGTGCGTACAGGAGAAGCCAGCGGCGTGGTCATTGCAGCAGCTCGGTTGACTTTTCTCATAGATCGGGCCAGTGCCTGCGCATTTTCGGCATCGTTGGCCGCGACAAAGATTTGCAGCAGGTTTTCCACTGCATATCGGTCGTTGCGCGGCTCATCGTCGAGCAAAATGTCGAGACTGTTGATGACCAGGCTTCCCAGCAACTGTCGGGCCTCGAGCTCCTTTTTGAGGAGGCGATAGAACATTGCGAGGTATATAGACGCAATGTTGACATCGGAGCCGTATTTATCTGCGGGAATATCTAAATTCTGATGCTTGCTTTGCTTTTCTTGGACCTGCTCTAATTTCTCCAGCCACTCCATGGCTTCAGGAGAGGTGAGATCTGTTTGAAGGATCTTTTGCTTATATAGAGCAGACAGCTTTTGGAAAGAGGTTGCATGTCCATGGCGCGTTGGAACATTACCGCGCGGCCTATATTCAATCAAAGAAATCTGCTCAAAGATAGCAATCGACTGATCGAGATCGCGATTGTACGCACAGGTGTTCCCATATGCCAGACGCAGATAAAGAACACCCATCTGGTTGCGTGTAGTGTGAGCAATCTCGATGGCAATTTCATATTGGTGCAATATGAGTTCTACCTCTCCAGTCTTACAAGCTGCTTTGGGAATCCATTCCATGGTGAGGTGCTTATCGCAATTTTCCAGGAGTAGATTGGTTAACAAACTCGCCTCCTTCTCCTTGGTGATGGTTTTCTTCGCCAATTCGTGGAGCAGCTTCATCATTTCAGGGTGTAAGTTCTCGGTTGCTAACATCTCCAAATAAGCAATCTCAGCCTCAAAGTGTTCAGAAGAGTTCAAATTTGCAGCTGGCGAGCTGTCGATTGCTTTGCGGAAGTACTCAAGTGCAGGCTCTCTCTTCCCAGTCATGTAAGAGCAGCGTGCAATAAGCAGATAATCTTTGTACAGCCGCCATTTGCTGCTGGACAGCGCAAAGCCTTGCAACGCGCCATCTTGAATGCTTTTCTCTTCAATCTCAGCACACTTTAGGGCCTGAGCCAAGGCCTCATCGTACTGCCCATACTTGGACAGGCAGTAGGCAATGCGCCCGGCGGTTCCGACGCTGTTGTGATCCAATTCAAGGGCTTTGTTGTAATGGATCAAGGCATCGCTATAGAGTCCCAGCATCAGATATGTACTTCCGAGCCGTCGATGCCAATGCGCTGTTTCGGGATAATTCGCCCATTCGATGGCTTTCAACACCCTCTCTCTAATTGGCGTTCCGGACCAGCGACTCTGTGCCTGAGACCATGAGCGTTCTTCGCTCATGAATGCCACATTTTGGACAATCTTAAAACAAAACAGTGTCGGAACATATTTGTAAAAGTCTGCACAAAGCCATTGTTTTGCATAAAATTGACCGATCGCTTGACATATTCCCAAGTCCTCTTTGACCGATTTGGCCACAAAGTGCTTCGCTTCAGTCGTGAGGCTCGCAAGGATCTCGGGGTCATTGAGCCATTTGCGGAGGCCTTTGATATTAGAGTCGGTAAGCACCTCCAGTCCCTCGTTGTTCTTTTCATACATGGTGCTCCAGTCGTATATGATGTCCTCGACAGTAAGCATGTTGTATATGCTCATGCCAAGCTCCTTCTTATGTTCTGATGGAACACTTGCCGGATCGAGTGCTGTCAAATGCTCCTGCCAGTACCATGCAGCGTATTGTTTTATAGCTTCCTTGCCATGATCCAGCTCCTGGTTATCGAACCATGACCTATCGTTAAAGATTCTCAGACAAGTCTTCAAGACACTGATGCGAGCTTTCATCATGTCAAATCCAACCATGACGCCTCCTTTGGTAGCATGAACAGTGTTTTCATTTCCATCACGGAAGAACTGTCTCACTGATGTGTGAGAGAAAGTAACATAAGTTGTCGATGGATTCGACCGGAAATCGACCTCGTTAGAAACGTCAAAAACTCCGGGACTTCGCGCCGGGCTGAAATGTCGGGTCGGGCTAGATGTTTCGGCTGTGGGCGGACTGGTCGGACTGCTAAAGATGCCTCTGCCACCAGGACTTACTCTGCTACCAGGACTGCCTCTACCAGCAGGACTGACTCTTCGACCAGGACTGCTAGTATCAGAAGAACTGAGGCCTCGAGGACGCGGGCTTTCATTCCTATAATTTCTATCCAGATACACCTCTCGATGCGTTCTCGCAAAGTCTTTGAGCAGATCATCCGTGGTCAATCCATCTTCACGCTCAAGTGCAAAGAAGCACGAGTATTGGCCCCGCAATGACTCCTCAAGTCGCAGGGGAGGATCTCCGAATTTCATGATGAGCGCAGCTTCCAACTGCTCCAACGTGAGCGATTCTTCGGCACAAGACACCCACTGCAGCATCTCGCTAAGGTCACGAGCATCCTCCTCCGAGATGGTGACAGAGAGATTGGCGAGTGTCTCGTTGAGCATTCCGTTAATCTCCTTTGGATAGGATTTCAAGCTTTTGAGGATCGAACTGGGGTGTCGCTTCTGATTGATCTCGTTGAGCATAAATTTTGCTAGAATGAAGAGGCCGTCGACTTGCTTCTTCATGGACTCGATGACTTCTTGCTTGAAATCCTCCGGAGATCGACTGAGTATCCTTGAATGCCGCACGCCTTCAGAGATGAAGGCGCTCACATCATCTGCAATCCGATCCGGTGTCACGTAAATCGTTGTATATACCTGACCAACTGCATTCGGATCCAATGCAAAAGACACTATGTCTGCCAAATAAGACCTTCCAGTCAATGCGAATTGCAATTTTGACGGCTCAGAGTCGTCTTCGGGGGCAAGCAAGGAGAGAAGCTGCTCGATGTCACTCTGTTCCGCCTCGTCAATGCCGTCGAGAAAGATGTAAGTAGTCTTATCGCGGGTATCATCCAAGAACGGCTGTACAAAAAGTCTTCTGAATGCGCTGGGCACCGTCTTGATATCGTCGCTGCTATGAAGCTGCCTTGCGAGTTTCTCGGCATAAAATGCATCCGTTTCGCTAAGTTGATATGCGACATCGCGTAAAGCCTGCAGCACAGATCTTGTCTCGGGATCATTGGCGGAGAAGAAGAAATATCCTAGCTGTGGGAGATTCTCGAGGCCCCATGTAATAAGTCGTGATGTTAGGAAAGATTTGCCGGTGCCTTAAAGTAGGAACAGTTAGTATAGGCAATTGTTGTTTTGTAATCGAGTCGTAAGGACGACTTACCAGGATTACCGCACACCCATAGATGGCGAGTCTCGCCCTGAATCCAAGACTTCAACCCTTCATCTTCCAGCAGCCAGTCACCAGTACCTTGGACTCTATACTTGTTGAATGCATTGTACGAGTCTTCCGCATACGGAGTAGGTTCTAAGACCTCTCTCAATCTGTCTCTGTAGGAAAGACCTCCATTTTGTTGCTGTCCCAACCTCATGTCCAGAATATTTTGATTCATTTGTGCGACGAGGTTCTCGACTTTGTCTGTCTTGAGGTTGAGTTCGGCGACACCGCCATAAGTCTCTGCAATGACTTGCCGCTCTTCTCCTAGAGTAAGGGCATTGAGCCTTTCCAGCGCTGGTTGAACAGGACTCTCGATTCCAACGAGTTTCTTGAAATAGGCCTTAAATCTTCCACTGCGCGCGACTTTGGTGGCGATAACGAGAACCTCGAACAAAGTCGCCAGTATGGTAACGAGTTTATCACGCAGTGCAGGACTAAGTGCGTGGTTTAAGTACACATCAAGCCTCGATGTGAAGTCCTGTCATGCATTAATCCTACCGTCAACGTGCCACCTAATATGTCAGATTTGCCTTACCTTGAGTTGGTTAAATAGCTCTAATATTGAGTCGTACATGGAAGAAACATCGTGCGCAGCGTTTATGAGATACATGACCGCAGCAAAGATACCCTGTGCCGGCGGGAAAGCTTCTGAAACTCCCTCAGCAACAATGTCTCCTATCAACTCTATCGGTCGTAGAGTCACTGCGATGGCATCGAAGATACTCTGGCGCTTTTCTCGAAAGTGGCTAAACTGATCATTCTGAGTCGTCAACTGCTGCTTTAAATCGGATATTGTCTTCATCGGTGGCTTCAGAAATTCGTCTAGTGTTAGGCCTTTGTCGGATGGATCTTTGAAGAGCTTCGCAGCATCCGCCAAGATGGCAGCAAACTGCGTCTCCATCCCCGGAGACTTCTGAGATGGCTGCTTCTCATCATCACCCATCTTTGCGATCATGATGCTCTTTCTCCCAGCACTCTCCGTCGCATAAGAAGAGCTGGGTATTTTAAATGTTCAAAATCTCATTTTCACGACTTTGGCTACACCAGCGTTTAGTCACTCCGCCTCCTGTGGGGGCAAGACGTGCCAGTAACAGGGGCTCAAGAGCCTCAAGTGACAGACTAGACGCTTTCTCCGCCTCACTTACGCGCGCTAGATACCGAAAAGCCATCGACCCGCATGCTGATCCATAGTCGCTTTCGCAACGAGAATCGTCACCTGCACAGGGGTTGCCAGTTGCTGCGCCGTCATCGAAACCTTTCGACTGCTACCTAGAAGAGGCGGGGGCTTGCTACATGTATGTATCCGTCAAAGTTTCAAATTCGGTGCTTCCACGTTGCATCAGGAATAGGGGCGAACTCGCTGGAGCAGGTCAAATGTGACCAGCTGCCTTTCTTAAACTCAGGGCTCGCAATGCATGTACAATACTGGGCTGTGCTTGGCAGATCTTGGCCACCAATGCCACACACGTTGGAGTCAGTGTAACTCCTTGGTGTCTTTCCGAGTGGAACTGGCTCTCTCTGACTATTACATGTTACAAGGGGGTTTGACTCCTGCTGCCACCTGATCATCCCACTATCCACTCATGTCTAAGCGTGTAAATAAGCTGTACATAAACAAGGCTAAAGGGCGATGACCAAGGCGATGCTGAAAGTGGGCGCGAGAAGCCCACGTACATGTATTCAACAAATCCGCCAATTGCTCCTTGCCACTGCTCTAGCATTGGTACCTAACGAGGCGCGGGGCGGGCCGTTGGTGGCATTTCATCCGTTGTCTTACGGAAATACAATTCATATGATTCCAAAGGCGTCTACATGTGCTTTTCGGTTGTAATGCAACTCGCATTATTTTAAATTAGCTGGCTGATTTAATTTTATAGAACGCTAGCTATTTCTATTATAAATGAGATTATCAATATAACTATACCCCCATAGTACTACTTCAGGTAAGATAGTTCCCCATCCAAATGAACACAGAGGAATGTAGTAGATGATTAGCTTCACATATGCATCTATCATTCTTCTCTTTTATCGCTTCTTAAAAGTGACACTTTCTGTCCCATGTCGCACGGTGAAGGTAATTTCATTACCGGACACTATGCAGTCAGACATGTACAGTAGTCTTAAAAAGTTGGAATTAGGCTAACTTACGCTCAACATCTAGGAGTTTTTGTTCTGGAAGAGTATAAGATTCCGTGGGGAAAAAATCGCCTAGTCTCTTTCGATCAAAGTCGTAAACCGTAACGTAAGGAACAAAAACATTTTCAGCCCCGAGATCCCTGCTCATGGGGGGATCCTGGATCCAACTCCACTTGCCATCTTGATAGACAGTAAAGGCGATTGTACCTATAACTTGCAAGACAGAATCAAGTTGAAAACGAACACCTGTATAGTCGTCGGTGTTTAAATGCGATACGAGTGTTTCGTGGCGAGCTTGGAGCTCGGTCTCAGGAATAGGCTCTCTATTGATATCCGCCATTGCTGTACTCAAACTTATTTAGGTAGAAAATAGTATGTTTACCCAGAGAAGAAGAGGATGTCCAAGACATATATATATATACTGATTCGGTCTAAGACTGTAGGAAGCATACTTGCCCCTCCAAAAGATGTGGGAAATGGGCACCGTATTGCTTGCTGGCAGTTCTCTTTGCGGAGGTTTGGGGTTGGCGGAGGCAATCTCCATGTAGTTATTTCTTATTGGCGGTCTAACACCGCGCGCTATCGTAAGAACAGCATAGATAACACGAATATAGCTAGAACAGAGAAAAGTTAACGGCTGTCATCCAAGTACAGTTTAGCCGAGATGTAAAATACCAAGCTGATGAAGGTGACGTGGTGCCCCTCCGGATGCCCCTCTAGAGCGGCTGAAGCCAAACTTCACGCACATACATTTGAATGGAGGATTTGACTGGGTGTTACGACCCGACTCTTGTGGTCGCAGCAATTCATGCTTTCAGGAAAGTGGCGAAACCGGTGAGCTCGGTGAGAGGGTGATTCGAAGAACACGAGCGGTCTGACGTTTGTGACCGAGACTTTGTTCGACAACTTGTTAAAACCATGGCAATCCGGAAATGATGGGGAAGCACAGTGTTTCATAGTATGTATTCGGCTTGCGAAGCCGAACGATCAAGGAATCACCTCATTCGATCGCCGACGGAATGACAAATCAACATAACCTACAGTATTCACTATGTAGACATAAAACTACATGTATTTAACTGGCGTAGTAATTCGTTGTGTCAAAGATGCAATCGCGTACACCAAGAAGCCATTTCAAACGCTGTGTATCACATTTTGGCGCCTCATTTACCGCACATACAAAGATTATAACTTACCCACACGGAGAAGCCGCAATGACCTCGGTTACCTCTCGCCAAGCTTTTCGCAGGACAGACAATTATACCCCAGGCAGCGCCAAAGTGAAGCTCATCACGGAGGACTTGCCCCTTCCTCTCCACCCAACCGCCGTTCTGATCAAGGTCCACGCCGTCTCTCTCAACTATCGTGATGCCAACATCGCTAATGGCGGTAACCCTTGGCCGGTCATTCCCAATGGCGTGCCTGGTAATGATGCGGCTGGCGAGATTATCGCAGTAGGCGATAGAGTATCGCTCGTGTCCGTAGGAGACCGAGTAGCCCCGATCACCGACACCAAATACGTTAGCGCTCGCTCGACTGAGCGGTCTTGGCTCGCGGCAAATGAAGATGGCACCCTCGCAACACATCTTGTTTTCGATGAAAGCCTTGTTACGCGGCTTCCTGAACATTTAGACTGGGTTCAGGCGAGCATCATTCCTTGCGCTGGAACAACCGCTTGGTCTGCGCTCAAGGGTGCCACCATGGGTCAAACCGTTCTAATTCAAGGTGAGTCTTCGAGGAATTTATGTTGTCCGGTGGCTGACAATATCTCTAGGTACTGGCGGGGTTGCAACTTTTGCTCTGAAGCTCGCCCGAGTGTCTGGCCTCAGGATTATCCTGACATCTTCCAGTGACGAGAAGCTCAATAAAGTTAAGCAGCAATTTGGAAAGCCTGAGATCCAGACCATCAACTATAAGACGAATCCAGAGTGGCATGAGGAAGTCTTGAAGCTCACCAATGGCATTGGTGTCGATCTTGTTGTTGAGAATGGCGGCAGCAATTCTCTCGTCAAGAGCATGCTATGCACCCGACGTGGTGGTATTGTTCGTCAAGTAGGCTATCTTGGGGGTTCAAAGCCCGAACATCTGAAGGAGTTCGTTTCCACCATCATCGACCGCAGGCTGAATATTAGGTTAGTAGTCTCTCTCAAGTCCACATAGTTCATGGGGTGACCTAATCATGATACTAGGGGAATCAACTGTGGCTCTAAAGATGATCAGGGTGATCTCATGACTGCTATTTCAGCTTCGAAGATGACCTTTGAGGATATCATTGACTCAGTATGGCAATTTGACAAGTCAGAAGAGGCGATTGAATTCGTCTGGCAGGGTAGGCAAGTTGGGAAAGTTGTTATTAAAGTTGGACTGTAAAAAGCACGCATACTCCCTAGGGATATGCTGCTGAAGCGGCGGCAAGATGAGGTAGACTTCATGTTGGGTGTATTAATGTTATTCTACCCGCTCGAGTATGTTGAGAATTTTCTTATATTCATTCCCTCGTACTATTGTAACTGCTGTATTCCCACTATCATTTACATTTTAATTACTAGAGTTTCTAAAGGTACCTGCGGGTCTCCCGACTGATATACTAGGTAAATTAAACAAAAGTACTCTTATAAGCCAGCTAATTTAAAATAATGCGAGTTGCATTAGAGCCTTAGGCACTTGATACGACCGCATCCTTTCTTCAGTGCTGCCACGTTCGCGAATAGCATTCAGATGTACCATCCTGTTATTTCGGACTAAAATTCATCCCATTTCTCAAAGGATGATAACTCCTATTCGATGCGAGATGCGTGCTTCGGAGAGCTACCGCCGCCTTGCTTACACATAAGCCTAGCTTTTGCCATTCACGGTTTTATAACCTAATCAACGCATATTAACACGCAGAGAGGCGGGATTGTTTAAACCTAGGTCGATCCTGGTCAAGAACACAAATTAAGCGTTGCTATTTACTCGATACCTATGTTTGTACAACTCCAGCCTCGAACTCGTAAACAGTTTCACAACTCCTGTCCTAGAAATTCGGAGGATCTAGCGCTGTAATGCAGCCACCTAACGAGATACGAGATGTCTGAGACACGGCTTACCATACAGTTTGAGACTCGCTGAAAATTGTGGATTCAACTCATATTGTTACCTTGTTTCTCCACCGCCATTCCACTTGAAATCAGTTAGCATTGCCCTGTCTGCTGTCATAAAGGCTTAAAGGAGATAGACTGAAGCATATATGAAAAAGGCAGGCACTTTAATATTAAATCCGTATTCAACATTTAGCACTGGTACTCAAGGCCAACAACATGCTTGTGCGGGGTGCGACCTTTTAAGTGACCGACCGATCTCGGGTGACTTGAACCAACAGATTTCCCCTCCCGAGGATTGCCGCTGATTGCAATGGATCATCATGGCTCATCAGAATGGGCTTTGTGCAACAATTCGAGTGGCCAAAATCAACGCGTTGTGTCGGATGATTTGAGCCAAAGGGAAACTCAATGGCGGTAACACAGCTCTGCTCCTGTTTTACGAAGCTGCAGCCTAACTGGCATCATTGGTTTAGGCAAGCATCAGTTCTAAATCTGCATTCCCGGATCTCGGGCGATTTCGTTTGCAAGCTCCCTTCCGATGCCATCCAATCCTTAACGTCGCACTAGACTATCACGCAATTAGAATTCGCCGATGTTAGGTCACCAAATCAATACTAGATCTAGTAAGTACGGAGTAGGTACGGAGCACTATACGATGCTAATTATCGCTCACAGCGTATAGTTAGTAATGTCAATGTCACCTGGTCCTTGATATCCTCCTCCCTTGACTATATATATATTCCAGCAAGACACCAGGGGACTCCAGGCTTGCAAATACCGATGACGACTCAGTGTGCTTCTTTTCTCATTAGAGCAGCATCACATTAGTTGTCGAACCAATTTAAATTACGCCATTGCCCCAAAATGTTATCCGGGCCACCCAGCAAGATCGCAGTCGCCCTGTTTTCAGGCTTCCAAGCTCTCGACGTTTTTGGACCTCTGGACGCACTCAACATTCTCTCATATACCAACCCCTTAGAACTATATTTACTCTCTACGACCTTGGATCCAGTGTCTACCATACCCGTAAAAACTCCAAGCCCCGGCGCAATTGGTCAGCGCTTAGTTCCAACACATACATATCAAGATGCTCCAAAGGATATAGAAGTTCTTCTCGTGCCAGGAGGTCGGGGAACCCGTGACCTTGAGCTCACAGAGCCCGTCGTGGATTTCATCGAGGCAACGTTTCCGAGCCTCCGCTTTCTCCTTACTGTCTGTACGGGGAGCGCCCTTGCAGCTCGGTCTGGTGTTCTCGATGGGAAAAATGCCACCTCCAACAAGTTGTCTTTCGAATGGGTATGGCGATGAATAACTCAGACCTCTTTGCTAGCCATATAGCTAACATAACCCGACTCTCTAGGTCATGAGGCAAGGTCCTAATGTGAAGTGGGTTCGCCATGCGCGATGGGTACAAGATGGCAACATTTTGACCTCTTCCGGGGTATCAGCTGGTATTGACATGATTTACGCCTTTATTGCGGACCAGTATGGCGAAGAGGCTGCCTCACAAGTTGCGACCGTGTCTGAGTATACTAGAAACACTGACTCTACGAATGACCCATTCGATAAGGCTGCTTAATATAAGCAAGGGGCAGGGAGAATGGTATTGTGTAGAGTATCTTCGCCGAAATTTTAAATAATTAATTGCCGATGTTCCGTTATTCCTGAGACACAAAGTGTTATTGTTATAGAATACTGTATCAAAATAGGCAGTGTTATAATGATAATTATGACTTGAAAGCAGTACATATAACTGCTTGCCCACAAATTACTCTACAAACAAGCGATCGGGCTAGTTTTGTCTATACCAACAGCTTACCGGGTTTTTATTATCCAGCGTCCTTGCCGTCATTCCCAAGCAGCCCTTGTTGCCACCAGGCGTTTGGAATCCCAACCCCAGCCAAATCCTCCACGAGCCGTCAAGGCTGACCGGACAAGCAATCAAGCCGGCATCCTTGAAGAACAAATTCTTATCCCCATCAACCCTCCACCCTTTCGTTTCTCCATATCGGGGAAGAGACTGGCTCCCGGTAAGGAAGCCTACTACGCCCTGCCCTGTTTCCATACATCAAAGTCAGCTACCATTACGACTGAGAGTTCCACAACCAATGAAACAGAATACGGCGTACCCATGCCAGAACGATCGACAAAGACTTTTTGTTTCTCCTGTTCGCAGGAATACAACACCAGCTCCTCGTTTGCAATGTAAAAAGTCGCGTGGCCGCTCGACTCGCCTTTGCACGTGGCATTCTGCAGAGGAAAGTTCAGGTATAAGCCGCTCTTGGCTGCACTCATCTGCGCGAAATGGATGGGACTAGCTGAATGAAGTGCCATCACGTCAAAGGTCCTGAGTGCAGGTGGTGGAGCTGCAATGGCAGAAGACAATAGCAGGGAGATGGCGGAGATGACCTGGAACTTCATCGTGACGGAAGTATCTCAGTGCCTGAAGTGTGTAAGGTGAATTTTGAGTGCTAAAGAAGAGCAGTGAAATTGTCAAAGCAATAATCATCTTAGTATTGCTCATATCGAGTCCTTCTTATAGCCTGATCTTTACCGCCTCCAGAATCTCAGCTTCTCACCATGTGAGACATTGGAGCCGCTAACACCAACGTCGTGATACAATGGATGCTAAGCCACCACAATATCGCTTCGGATCCTCTTCCAGAGTGCAACACATCACGATCTAGATGCATCGGCACACCTTGGCAACTTCCACTAGACAACTGTCAAGGGCGGCTGATACGTAACGCTCCCACCGAGAGCTGGACTATATCCAGAGTAACCTCGTATAACGGTTTGCCCTTTTGAACACGAGAATCCTATTCGATCTGCGATGGGCCGTGGCTGCAGCGTGGCTGCATTTTCAACCTACGTGTAATCAGCTGAGAGCACATGCAAATGGTAAACGAAGCAAGGGAGACGCTCGCTTACTTATTGACGCCAATTCATAATGTTTGCTCAGTTTGTATAAGATTAGAGATCGCTTGCTTATGCTTCGAATATCATGATCATTGAAACCTTTCATAAACTTCCAGCTTGTATGCTGGATAAACACAATATGCCCTTAAATTGACTCTATATGGTATCTATGCATAATCCAATCCGCTTGCTAATGTGTCCTTGCTAGTGTTCCCATCTGCTCTGAATAACGCTGAAAAAAATGTGTTCATAAAAAAAGTCAACGGCTTGTTTTGGTATCATATCATACGTCGTTTGGTGCCACGTCTTCTGCATCTTCTTGCACTTGCTGATCCGACAGCTTGGGATTTCTAAGGGCTAATGCGAAACCAATCATGGGCAGACATATAAACATGCCCGTGATGCAGAGTATCTGCTGAATGCTTTGATAACTGTGAATGATGGCGGCTCGAATATCGGTGCCGACTGGGTATTGCGAAACAATTTGAAACGGGTTTTCGTAAATGGCTCGTGCCAGGGTGGTATTAGGTTGAAAGGCAAGACTCGCCTCCAATGTTGGGTATAGAGTTTGAGTCCAGATTGCTCCAGATAAACAGGTGCCGAGCGCGCTTCCGACATTGTAGAAGGAGAGGTAGAGGCCCGTCAGGATGGCAACGTGATCTCGAGAGGCTGAGGCCTGAATCGAGGCCTGGGTGGGATAGGCAAATAAGCCACTGGAGAGCCCCAGAAGAATCTGGCCCCCGATAAGTCCACTCCTGGACGCTGTAGTTGCACCTCCGGGGAACTTAATGAGAACGCCCAAAGCAATCATGAACAAGACGGTGCCGAGGACAATGATGTGTTTGAGGCGTCGAAACCTGTAGATGACGAGGCCCACTGCCACGCCGCTGACAACGCCAAAAAAGGAAAAGAAAGAGAGGATTCGGGTTGCGCTCTCAATGGGGAAATCGAATGCAACAATAAGAACGGTATAGAGATAGTTGCCCTGCACGTACCAGGCAAAGTTGAGCAAGCTCCGCACGGCTAGAGCCGCCCAGACCCCGCGATCCTTTAACAGGTGGAAGGGGACAAGGGGGTTTCTGGCGCCGTTCTTCTCCCACAGGACGAAAGCGGGAGCGAAGAAAAGCCCGATGACCAGCGGGATGACGACCTGCGGGTTCCTCCAATGAGATACCGTGCCGCCTGCAATCGTCAGAGGAGTCAGAACAAGACTAAACGCCGTGACGAGAGTAAGCAAGCCGATGGCGTCCACCTGATCGAAGAGCCGGACACTCCATTTGCGAAGGCTGTCGAGACCAGCGTAGGCATCTCCAAACTCGCTCTTCTTCCTGGACTTATTAGGCCCTGTGCGACGGTCGATCGAGTACAGTGTGATTAGGAGGGGAAGTGAGGCGACAGGGTAAATGATGCACCACATGCCGATTCCCCAACGCCACGTGGTTACGCGCAGCACGGCAGACGTAATGCTGCCGCTAATCCATGTGTTGATCACAAAAGGCAGGGCGGGTATGTAGCTGAAGAAGACGCGAGCCCGCATGGACGAGAAGTCGGCAACAAGGATCTCCAGCATCAGGACGATGCAGGTGTAGCCAACCTGGTACGTGATGGTGCCGGCGCAGAACGCATAAACGGAGTTTGACGTCGACTCGATCATCATGCCGACGACGTAGAACAAGGTGGACGCAGCCACAACTTCGAAGCGTCCAAAGACATCGGCAATCTTGGCTGCGGTTGGCTGGATCGCAACCGCAACAACGCTTCGGAGGAGATTGATGGTGGCCAGGTATGAGTGCAGTGAGAAACTGGATGTTGCATACGGCATGTACGTTGACCGGACCTGACTCTCGAGACCGTATGCGTAGCCTATTAAGAAGATGCCCGAGAATATCCAGAATCGCTCCATGTGGGAGAGTTGGGCCGAAACGGCCTCCATGCGAGCGACACCAGCAGCCCGTCGGCTGGATCCTGCCACCGTGGAATCTGCATATTCGTCGTCCGCATAGCTGTGATGATGATTTTGAGTCGAAATTACTGTATAATCATGGACCTCGGTCATGGAGCGCGGCTCCGAGCCGAGCAACGGGGCCTGTTCGCCTGAAGCCGCCATCGCCGAGTTTTTAGCCTCAGTGGCGATGAAAGGGCAAAACTGGCTGAGGAGGGAAATCCCAAAAAGAATAATGAAAAATAGCCAGGGCCTTATTAGCACATGCCTTTACCGCATATTGAACAAAAAAACAAAGGCTGCAACAAATAAAAATGAAACGGGAGACGGGGGGGGAATTGAACGGGGATGAGGGCTTTATGAGAGAGGCGAGCTTTCGTACGAGCCTTCGGATCAGATAAGATCAGGTCGGGCTGGTGACAGGCAGCCACGGCCCACCAGGGTCCGCCATGGGCGTACAGAGACCCCGTAAGATCCCAGTAATGGCTCATTAATTGCTCCAGCTGTGGCTGGCATGATCATCGTCACATGGCCGGGTTTGGGCGACTAAAATTAGCGGGCTGTGCCAGCAGGATGAGACCAGACGGCAGAGGAGCACGGCTGAGAGAGGAGAGACAGCGAGGTTCAGAGTCATACAGAATGACTAATGCCGTTGGGCTTACTTGAGTTTTACGTCAACCTTAGCTTAACTAAGAGTTTACGAATGTTTGTCTCAACCAAGGGGAGGGACATGGAAAAGGCGAAAGGATAGAAAAAGTGACAGACAGAGAAGGTAACTGTGTGCATACATGTACTTTTGGATGGAGTGCAAAGACGGAATAAAATTGACAAATGGACCAGGGGTGCTGGCACATGTAAATGCACAAGCAGCCTTGGATCCAGATGCTGCATCACCCCGGGACGAAAATATTTTCAGCTTTTGTCACACACACCGATCCAAGCAATGATGTTTTTGTTTTTTTATTTAATTTACCTGGCCATCCATTTTGCCCATCATCTACAACTGTTGATCTGAGGCCTCCCCTTTATCAATCTCCAAGCTGATTGAAAATCACACCACACTGACCATGGGCGCCCCTCCCGCTCGTTCCCCAATTTTACCCGCACTAACCGTGGCGCTATGAAATGGTGATCGGATGAACGAAAAAAAAAAAAAAAAGCTGGACAAATTTGTGAATCTGTCAATCTTCATAGTCAGCCCATGTACAGAACGGCTACTCTCTAAATATGTATAATGAAACTGGCCCATAGCACATTACTCTATTACCGGGAGAAGAAAAGATACATGTACTTGGAACGATGGGAAAATTACAACTACATGCACTCGAGAAAGAGATTGCGAGCATGTCCACCACCTTCAGGCTCAATTTCAAGCGGGTCTAGCCTCGGAGGATTAGCTATTTGTGTTTTCAGCACCGCTAAATGCTTGCAGGTAGCATGCTGTGCGAGGCACCTGTGAGATTTGGCTTACTTTGGAACAAAGGTGAAACAGGGTTGGGTGAGCCAATCGAAGCCACAAATCACGGCCTGTAGACATCGGCGCACGATGAGATGACCCTTGGCAACTAGGAGAATAATATTCCATATCATCGTATGACAAGGTTAATATATTGCTCATTTATAATTGCAAATCCTTAGTGCCAACAGACGAAGTCGAAACGGTAAGATATAGCTAGCCTTACTTCCCGAAAATTGGAGGCATCTCCTCTCCCCAGGTTGACGGAACGGGGTTTAGCAGGATGCATGTTGCCTGTGCTTGGATGTAACGCTATCTGCAGTTTTGTAACCCTATAATTCTCCGTATTGGAGAGAGCATCCATACCACAAGAGTATCTTCATCGGGATCAGTTGATCTGTGACTTGAATATATCAACATGTTAGATTCTAGCATTGGTGTAGACGATACACATCACAAGGATGCAGTGCTACTTGGCATCCGGCAGACTTAAACCATTTGTATCAAGCTAAGCCTTCATGATATTACTGTCACCAACCCAAACAGACATCATCCTCACGAGTCCTTTTCAGACAATTCTGCTTTCATATATATAGGTAGTTTTTCTCACCGCTGTCTGCAACTCTAGGGTACGAAAATGCCTTTAGCATGGAGTCACACGGGAACATGTGAGCCCAGTTGGACAGCGAGTTGGCCATGCTCCGAGACATTTTCTCCAGCCCTAGTGGATGCCCTGCTGAAGATGTGCACCCAATGTCTTGGGCCGGCTATCGTTAAAGAGATGTACTATGCGGTCATCATTCTCAGCTGCAGGCGCCTAAATCTGCAATGCGGGATGCAAGGGAGACCACTGAGCAGCACACACACACAGTATTGCTCTCTTCTTATCACCGATGCTTTCTTCTTCCCAACGCAAGAAAGAAAATAATCATTAATCAACTAAACCGGTCCAAACTCATCTAGCAAAGAATATGATACGGAACAAAACGGAAAAGAAACTTTATAAACCATTGACATCTTCCCCAGACTCACAAGGCGTGCTAAGGTGAAATGAGTAATTTTCCCGACCCAGATCGCAGCTCCGGGTGCGGCCCCGTCAATTCACGGGTAGCCCATCGGCGACATCGGAACCCCATCTTCCGGCGTAAGACATTCAAATCAGAGGCACCCGCTAGCATACTCACATCTGCACTAAGAATTGCATCAATTCGCAGACTTCAAAGCCTCCTCCCCCACCAAACCGCTGCCTTTGAAACAAGCACAATGGCGACGGTAGCCAAGGAGCCGGCAGCTGCTGACAAGAAGCAGCGGCCCAATGCGCTGCGATCAATCATTGCTGGCTCAACCGCCGGCGCGATTGAAATCGGTATGTCTTTTGTCGCACGTGCTTCGGCTTCAAGATTTTTTCGATATGCTAATTTTGAGATATTGCGCAGCCATTACCTATCCCGCCGAATGTGTGTCTGCGCCGCTGCCGTCTTGAACGAAACGGGAGAAAATCCTCGTACATCCAATCACCAGAAAACTGACCAGATATATGTGCAGTCGCAAAGACAAGGTCGCAGCTCAACAGACGGCTAGCAGAGGGCAAGAAGCTGCCATGGCCACCCTTTGGAGCGCAGTGGTATGCGGGATGCACCACGCTCATCATCGGCAACTCTGCCAAGGCGGGAATCCGTATGCAATAATAACCCAATTGGCGATTTGTATTACGGGCGCAAAGTTCTGACGTGGATATGGCAGGATTTGTTGCGTTTGATCAGTTCAAGAGCATGCTCGCCGACGAGAACGGGAAGCTCTCTGGCCCACGAACTGTCTTGGCCGGCTTCGGTGCCGGAGTCACAGAGTCGCTGCTCGCTGTCACTCCCACCGAGAGTATCAAGACGACTCTGTACGCCCTCTTCTTTTCCTTTATATGGTTAGTATTTGTACCATGTGCTGATGGCCCTTCTCTTAGCATCGACGATCGCAAATCCGCCAAGCCTCGCATGCGCGGTTTCCTCCATGCCGTCCCCATCATCGCCCGTGAACGTGGTATCCGCGGTTTCTTCCAGGGCTTCGTCCCTACGACAGCTCGCCAGGCAGCAAACAGTGCCACCCGCTTCGGTGCCTACAACTTCTTCAAGCAGATCGCCGAGTCATATACTGCGCCAGGAGAGAAGCTTGGCACCGTAGGCACCTTTGCCATGGGTGGTCTTGCAGGTCTAGTGACGGTATATGTGACTCAGCCGCTCGACACAGTCAAGACACGCATGCAGAGTATCGAGGCGCGGACGCAGTACGGCAACACATTCAGGTGTGCTGCCATGATCTTCAAACAGGAGGGTATTCTCACGTTCTGGAGCGGAGCGCTCCCCCGACTGGCCAGATTGGTGCTCAGCGGAGGCATTGTGTTCACCATGTACGAGAAGAGCATGGATCTGATGAACAAGCTGGACCCCGAGATGAAGTACATCTAAGAGAGGGAGGGAACCAAAAAAGAAAAAAAAAAAGGGAAGAGGAAGCAGTCTGGTCTGGCGTTTAGGATTTAGATGGGGATTATACAGCCTTCGTATTGATACAGCGACTAGTTGTACAAGTGTATATACATAGTATACAGTGATGATTGCAAAAGATTCTTGGTTTGATACCATCTTTTTGACCTTGCCATGTCCATTATTGTTTTCATGAAATGCAATCTTTCCCTCCACGTCCCTTCTTTTGAGATGCCCTTTTAATTTGATGTTGATATCGATATCGTGTCGCCGTTTTGTTCATTACTTCATTGCAGTCTAATCATTCCCGACAATCTCTTGCCCAATCTCTCCAACCAGGTTCTCTTCGGCGCCTCCTCAATCTCCCTGACCAAGTCTTCAAAATACGTCGGCTGGCTCTTTGGTTCCAGCATAGGACCCTTAAGCTTATACTGCATAGCCCACTCGTTAGCGAAATTTGCCGTTCCCCCTCCCCCTCACACAAAGGACAAAAAAAAGGATCGGCTGCGCACCCTATCTCTGAACTTGTTCTGCACCAGGAATTGCAGCGCTCGCGCCTTTAGCAGCTCCTCGGGCTCGATGGACGGCTTGTAGTTCTTGAAGCGCTCGTCGACGACCTTGGCGAGGACATCCTGGAACTGGTAGTCGGGTCGGAGGTCCTGCTTGGGCCATTTGGCGAAGACGTCGGAGTAGATGCGGCGCTGTTTTTTTTTTTTTTTTGGTCAGACAAGGCATGAGCTGGGATGGTCGATGTGGGAATTGAGGGGATTCCACTCACTGCTAGTGATCGCGACATTGTGTAAAACTATCGGAATCTGCGATGCGCGTGCTTGCGCAATGCAATGCCGCAACTATGGAACTTTGAATCAATATGCCACCAAGATATTGGATTTCTGCTTGGAGCAAAGTTTCCATCAGACAGTGTCAATAACACAGTGTATCTCATTTGACACACTTAGAGTCCGCGTATCTGGGTACACAGTACACGCTGTAGCTGCTTTGATGGTGCAGGATCCGACGTTCCGGCTACTCGTATCTGTGTATTGAGTACCCGCAGAGCTAAAAGGCCGCCATAGAAATGCAAAACACATCAATGGATCATTGACAGCGCCTTGAAAGCTTCTGCTGCCTGAGGCCCAGCAAATAGCGCTAAATAAGCCCCCAATCCCGGCAAAAGTGCCCCAAAGGGACCCAAAGGGACCCTGGATCGTTCCAGACGGTGCTTGACTTGGCGCCCAGAACAAGAAAGAGTACGAGGACGACTACTGGCTAGTACCTAAATTGCGCGGGCGGCCGGCAGGGTTCGCAAGTACTTTGCGTGCATCAGCAGGTTGCCTCCAGCGCCTCCCTCGCATTGGTCATCAGTGGCCGCGCATCATCTGGCCTGCCCGTTCTGTTCTCGTAATTCCATTCAATCTCAATCCATCCATTTCCCCATCATTCTCACCAAATTCCTCCACGTCGGATTGATTGCGCTTCTTTTTTCTTTTTTCTTTTTCGTTTCGTTGACCCTCGTCGCCCTCACCCTTGTCCCGACTTTTATCTCATCTTCTCCTTTGTCTCCTCTCCTCTCCCCTTTGGGTCGCCGCTCTCCGATTCGTGCTCCTTTTCCCACGGGCGCTCGTGACCGATTACGACATCACCAACTACCATTTCCCCCAAACACCTCACAATCCACGGCGCTGCGCGACTTTGACGGAACACTGCTGCAGCCATGTCTGGGCGTTACGAGAGGGTATGTGGGCATTTGCCACATATTTTTTTTGATTGCATTCTCGCGAGGGTTCTCGGGGGGTTCTTTTGTCGACGCTGAGGCTGACGATTCGATTGTTAATTTGCAGGTAAATGCCCACGATGAAGACGAGGAGCACGATGTTCCCCAGCGACGAGTCCAGATCCCCAACTCGCCACCTCCATCCTTTCATTCCCGCGCCTCTTCGCCAAATCGAAATGGCCGGGTCAACAACGACCTCGCCGATGCGTTTGACGACGACGACGCCAGCGACGACGAAGCCGACGACAGACAGAGATTAGTCCGCCAGAACTCAACGCCGACCATCCGATCAACCAGCGACTCTTCGCGATCCTCTGCGCCGGCGGCATCGGCTTCCATCCCAGCGACAGCGGATACGACTTCGTCCAGCTCACGACCACGGGTGATGGGTGGTGGAAATGCCTCCGATGGCGTGTTTGCCAACATGTCCGCCCGACCAGAGCGGACAGATGCCAATGCAGAGAAGGAGGAGCAACCACCTGTTTGTCTACCTTGCCGAGCCCCCGGAATTCGAAACGATTGTCTAGAATTTACGCTAATTATGGTGACTTTAACAGACCTATGAACAAGCTGCCGCAGATGCCGCCCCTCCCTACTGGGAAACCACGATTCTTGCGCCCGGCTACGGTGGTGCAGACGAAGTCTACGTCGACGGCATGCCCGTCGGCTCGGTGTTTTCTTTTATCTGGAACGGCATGATTTCGACTTCATTCCAGCTCGTCGGCTTCCTGCTCACCTACCTCCTTCACTCCACTCATGCCGCCAAAAACGGATCCCGCGCTGGCCTTGGCATTACCCTTATTCAGTACGGCTTCTACATGCGAGGGTCGCCTGATGACCCGCCTAAGATGACAGGCCCAGACGGATATGCCGCGCCCCAAGATCCAAACTCCCATGACTTTAATGCCGACGACGTCCGTGATGGTCCCAGCTCCGGTATCTCAGGCAATGACTGGATGGCATATATCTTGATGGTTGTTGGCTGGTTCATGCTTATTAGGAGCGTAGCGGAGTTTATGAAGGCCCGACGACACGAACAACTCGTCCTCCAGAGCCCTGACCGCGGACTTAACGTCCCGATCATCGCAGAAGGCGAGAGCTCGGAGCACGTGGTATAGAGCTGTTGGTTATGCATTTCTAGATCTGGACCCTTTTCGCTATGACCCTCCCTCGAATCGTTCTGCCCAATTTATACGGCAGACTGGGAGCGTGTGAGCAATCAATGCCACACTAGGAGGCACTTCTCTTTTCCTGTCCTTCTTCTTCTGTTTTCTTGTGTCTGTTTGTGGGATGGATATCGGCGTTATTGGACAGCTGCATTATTAGTTTCCCAGGCATAACGCGTAGCACGCTTCTCTTATGTACAATGTATAGGATAATGGGCCATTTACCTATAACTGATTTCTGTTCACTGTTCACATTGGTCTCTCGTTGAGGCAATCTGGTAATGTGTTTATGCACGTATTTATATATCAGATGGATCGACCTGTTCGTGGCTTGCGTAGTTCTTACGGCCACTCCGTATCCGGCCAGCTCTTTGTCGTGAGATTTATCTACGCAGATCGATCCCGTTGCAGATCCAGGGCATTGATCAAATGCAGCTCATTAAAGGACATCCATGATCCATGCCATCGATTCATCCACTAACGCTTACAGGCCATTCACAGGTGCAGCGGCCACTAACAGGCACTAGCATCTGCCCCGCGCGTGCGGGGTGATAGCGCTCCAGGGCTGTTTGGGCCCCCGCTACTGGGCCTGAGCTCTGCATCGGGAGCTCTGGATCTGGTGACTTACAAAGCTCGTCAGCACGGAGCTGATAAGACGTGGATTTGACGTCTTTCATACATCATGGCGGCTGTGATAACTCTGAGAGTTCACCAGATTATCCTCACTTATGCTTTTGAAATACTGACTCGGACCGTATAACCGCTGACAATTGCGACATTTCCCGAGTCGTAAGCGCGCTGATAAACGATAACCATCCTCTCTCCTTTCACAGCTTTCTCTTGATTCCATCATTGGAGCTCCGTCACCTCTGTGTCGTTGCTCTCCTCGGCAGGACCGCGGTTGAAAGCTGGCGCCTCAAACTCTCACCCGAGCTCTAGCAAGGCTGTCCAATCCGTCCTTGCTCCTCAAGTCTGCCGGCATCTGCTTCCTCGTTGCAGGAGGACTCCAAGCGCGCAGCAGCAGCGGCATCAACATGGCGTGGCGGTGCTCAGGGAGCTCGAATGCCGGGCTCGTGGCAAACATGTGGACGCACGGCCTCATCACCGAGCCTCTGGTCAAGGAGGCATTTCTAAAGGCAAGGCCCTCTTTTTGAGCTGGTGCCAGACAAGAGGGAGTGAAAAATGAAGGAGGCTCTTCATCTGACTCGCAGGACAGGTTGACCGGCGGAACTACGCCCCTGCCATGCCGTACCAAGACTCTCCCCAGCCCATCGGCTACGATGCCACTATCTCTGCTCCGCACATGCATGCCTCTGCTATTGAGCATCTGATGTCTCGTCTCCTCCCATCAGAGGCGTCGCCGGCACCGCGGGTTCTTGATGTTGGCTCTGGCTCTGGCTATCTTACCCATATCTTTGCAGAGCTCGTTGGAGATCGCGGGCTAGTGATAGGGCTGGAACACATCAAGGAACTACGAGACCTAGGGGAAGCCAACATGAAAAAGAGCCCAGAGGGAAAGAAGCTGTTGGACGCAGGAATCGCAAAGTTTGTTGTTGGCGACGGGAGACTTGGCTGGGTAGAGGAGGCGAGACCAGGCGAGGAGGAGTTTGGGGCAGGATGGGATGTGATTCACGTTGGCGCCGCAGCCAAAGAAGTGCACGCTCCTCTGTTGGAACAGCTCAAGGCCCCAGGATGGTAAGTTTTTGCGCATGGCATCTACCAAACACTTGTCAACGAGAGTTACTTACACTTTGGCTGTCAAAAGCATGTTTATTCCTGTGGATGATGACTCCACCGGGTGGGAACAGAGCGTGTGGCGCATCGAAAAGGACGAAGAGGGAAAGGTGACGAGGAAGAAGCTATTTGGGGTGCGATATGTCCCGTTAACGGACGCCCCGAAGAGGTAAATGACTTTGCTTCATTCTTCTTTTGCCTATTTGGGTGCCATATACTTTTGAAAGCTTACCACCAGATGAGTATGTATTTGCGCCATCGTCGAATTGTATCTCGTGAGCTGGAGAAATTGGGCTTGGAAGGATTCTGTATTCTTCGAGCATCGTTTATTTGAGATGAAACTAAGTATCTAGCCATTCAACGAGTGTATTATAACTGTTACAAGCATGAAAATGCACCACAACGCCATCAAACGCCTCAAAAGTTATCTATCCGTTTATTCTTTTTTTATTCGTATTTTTAGCGTCATTTTCAGCCTCTTGACATACCCAACAAGGGATACCTTGTCATCAGGTCGTCACACCACATACTCCCTTCTCACAGCCAACTTACAGCCATGACCAACGCGGCAACAGCTGCCATTAACACCCCAGACTGGTATCTGGTGCCCTCGCTAATAGTCACGGGTACCTTGGTAGGAGCTGGATCAGGCGTAGGATGAGGACGAGGTGGAATAGGATCCGTGACAAGCCTAACGCATCCTCCTGGCGGACATGTTGGAGATGCAGGAACGTTGCTGGTCTTGCAGTGCTCACCATCGCACTCTAGAGGCGGCGGACGGGGAAAGGGGGCATCGGGCTCGGATGACGGGGCAGAGTGATGCTTCCATGTCGTGATGGGAGACGGAGGATCAACATGGCAGCCTCCAGGTGGGCAAGAGAGCGGACAGTTGGTGACTTCAGGAGGACAAGACGTGATGGTCTTGACGGTGGTGGAGGTTCTCACGGGGATGCTCTTGGTGTGGAACCCGTTACCAATATCTTTGTCCTTGTCGTCATCGCAGTGGTCCTCGTCCATTTTGTACAACGAATATCGCTTCTTCCCCGTCACCGGACACTGAGGGCCTCCGCACCACCCCGCGGTTTGGTTGCCGCCAATGCACGGCTGCACGCAGACGGAATCCTCAAGCACCTTGTACTGCGGCTCGCCCTTGGACGCAGGATCCTCGCAGTGGCACGAGCCGTCGATGGCGGCGTATTTGCCCTTTGCGTGGCAGGCTTCCTGGCATTGCTGGGCGCTGAACGGAGCGGGCAGATCGACGTTGAAGGAGAAGACTGGGGGTTCGGCCTCGACGCAGCCGATGTATTTGAAGCCGTGGGATGCGTATTCTGCTTGGGCTGCTGCGGTGGCAGCCATGAAGCTGATGAGGAGGGCGAGTCGAGACATGTTGGGATGTGTGCTTCTGTATAACTCGCAGTCACTTTCAGAGTTACTCTCCTCTGGTATAGAGGTCTTTATGCCAAGGAGATGGACGACTGGACAAGAACAAAAACCGTCAAGTTATATACCCGTCGAAGATACCCGCGATTTGTTATGCATACTGCAATCCAACCTCATTTTGGGATGCGTAGCCAGACTTGGGCATGGAATCGACGTACCGCACGCTCTCTGACGGGCTGGTTCGCGACACCATGCGAATGGTAGGGAATGAGGGGAACCAGTCGCGGTACTTCGTCTCCATTACGGAGTATCGCCGAATAACATTTCATGATGTGAACACACGCATCTTGTCAGGTCAGATGGTCTGTATACGCGGACCAGGCGCAAAGGGATCCGCGCATTAATGGTATGCGATGCTAACATGCCTCTCCAAGGTATGAGTGCGAACCAGGGAGAACAAGAGGCTGGCTCGAACTCGTTTCAGCTACTTTGACTCGCTGGAGAGGCTAAGCTGAGACAACTTCCTTAGATTCATTGTGTGTGGGAAAAAAGGGAGGCTGGCGCCGTTACGTTTTGTCCCAGCCGAGCGACGACCCGGGTTGTTAGGAATGTAGTCGTACGAATCACGACTCTGCCCGTTCTCTAGTGCACACTTGTGAGCGCGACTTGCGCGTCACCAAGTTTTGGGCTGAGTTGCATTCCAGGACCTGTGGTGGTGATGTCAATCCAAAGCTTACTTTTGTTTGAGTCGTCTCATCACTTATGCCGGGAGGGCCGCGTGTCTGATCTGATTGTAGCTTCGCGATCAAGATGAATTAGTTGGAAATAATTCTTCTCCATACCTTTGATATAATATTTCAGCTGCTCTTATAAAAGCATCTTATGGGACAGTGCTTGGCAGCTACATAAGTGCTGCTGAGCAATACCTTGAGGGCCATGTGTTATTCCTTCACAAACCCCACAATCTCATGCGATGCGACTGTTGCAGCACCTTTTTTCATACATGGCCAGAGTTTACTTTCTCTAATTCATGTTACATCATGATTCTGTCTTCATATTCATTTAGTCAAGTGTACAAGTGGCTCGATGACCGTACCCATGCTGTATACACGTATTATCACGAGGAATGCTAGTCTCCACCAAGGGCGCAGTACTGACGCCAAAAGTTAATCACGGCTTACCACCAAGAGCCGTCTAACAGTAAAATGCTTCACTTGTAATTGTAAATCAACATATTTCTGTGACTCTTTGCTGAGTTGCTCTGGGTATCTGTTAAGCATATATAAATCCAAGTTGGTTATGGGCTTCCTCGTATACGGCGTTACAACGGCTTTTTTCTAGTATCACCTCCAAGCCATTATCCGTATCCGCGTGATTCTTAGCCATTTACAGACCACCGTGTATAACTGTTGGCCAATGAGCCATACCGTATTCTCGTGGCCACGAAAGCCTCCAAGGTTGGCAGAAAGGTACCGCTTCATCTAACCGAGTTACCACGCTCATTAAGGAGAGGCGCTTTGCCCCTACATTGTAGATCCAACCTGTGATATGTATCGGCTCTCCAAATGCCCACGCAGATGTACAAGAAGGGTCTTTTTGAACCCAAAACGGGCTTGATTAAGTTCAGGAGAGCCATACGCTTATTAAACAACTTAATAAACTTAACTCCATTTTGCCGGGGTGTTCCTGGAATTCTGCACATGTCAAGTTTAGGTCAGGTCTTGATGTCTCCTCACAGAGTCAAAAGTCTAAATGAAGATTGAGTGTGAGAGTCAACTAACAACAGCCTAATCATTCAGCGTTGCCATTGTTATTTAACTAGACGACCATCCTTAGTTGATTGTGATGATGTTACTCCGTACAACCTTCTTCAGTCGTTCGCTCGTTTTTCGCATTTTCTCACTCGCTCATATACGCATTCGCTTAGTTCTTCATTTCCCTGCTCAATCATCCACTCGCTGATTCACTCCATTACGCACTCACTCGCTCACGCACTTATATACATACACATACATGTACACATATGAACCTTTTTTTTCAATCCAATGTTGCAGGAAGAATTATCGGGACCTGAGGGCCCCACGACGTTGCCCTGGGTCAAATACCCCATCCTCGTCAGGGATCGCTACCGCAACTTTAGACGCTGGCTCCGAAAAGACAAGACCATCGTGGCCTGCGTCGAAGACCTCATAGAGCCACCGCCTGCTTATCAAGCCGTACGAAGAGAGCCTCCGGCTGACGGCGAGCTGTATACCTTACAATACGAACTCTCTTACTACCACAGCCAGATATTCGTCGAGGATGGGTTAGAGAGAGAACTACTCTACGCCGACATTGAGTATCTACACCGGTGGATCGAACAGCTGGAATATCTCACCTATTGGAAATTGGCCACAACAATACCCGCGAGGTATCGACATGAACCCATCAAAGACCGTATTATAAAAGGAATCAGGAGGCTTCGCGCAGAATTTCTATCATCGTCATCATCAGATGATGATGATGATGATGAATTTCTTGAAGATGAAATGATATCATTAGAAACAAGGAGGAATGAAACGATATTGATAGAGAGAAGAGTATAAAGCAAATCTTTCTGCTCTTAATAAATTCATTTGCTCAGCTTTTTAAAAATGCTAGACACATGCAGGTACACACAAATAGTGCAATCTATGACACCCTCTACCACTCCTGTGTGCCATCTTTGCTCAAAACCTTGCCCGCATCAGCATCTCGCTTTCCCTCAGTCACGTCCCTGATAAACTCTCCTCCAATAGCCGGATCACCCGCACCCATCGCCTTGAGAGCCTCGGGATCACCTCCCAGGTTAGTAGCCAAGAAGCCCGGGCTAATAGCAAAAGTCTTGACGCCATCGTTCAGCAACAGCCAGTGCCAGTTGAGCATCACCATGTTGAGAGCAGTCTTGCTGCTCTTGTAGCCCAGGGTGGCGACGATGCCTGGCTTGGGCCACCCGGCTTCCGGCTGGGGGGCCCACGGAGGGTAGAAGCTCTTAGAGTGCGCGGTGAGGGTAGACAGGCCGGATGTGATGAAGATGAGACGAGGGGAAGATGACTTGATGAGGAGCGGGACAAAGGTAGCGGTTATGATGTGAGTCCCGGTGACGTTGACGTCGTACGCCTTGTTGAAGATTTCGCGGCTGTTTAAAATGTCGTCTGCGAAATTCTGGGAGTCAAAAGCAGCACCGGCATTGTTGACGAGTGTGTCGATTCTGTCCACCTTGGCATTGATAGTCTCAAAAGCCTGGGCAATGGACTCATCGCTCGCCAACTCAATGGCGACGGGCTCAAGGACGCTGCTCGATCCCGGAACCTCTTGAGTGGCGGTAGCAATTGCCTTTTGGCCCTTTTCCACAGTACGAGCGCCGACGAAGATGTGGAATGGCGTGGAGGAGCGCAAGTATGCTTTGACCGTCTCGTAGCCAATACCGGTATTGGCGCCGGTGATCAAGACGATGTGCTTGTCATTAGCCATTGTTTTATGATGAAGTGTGAAATGTGATGGATAGTTGATGTGATGTTAGCTGGTTATTTGTCTTGTTAAATTGTGTTGATACTCCATGTTGAACTGGCTGTTCCATAGCTAGTATATATACACATATATACCATTGCCAGTGAATTCCCTCTGTGAAGCTGGAACCTCCTTGATAGCTCTTCAAGAGAAATGCAACCAACTACAGCCAAGCTCTCTTTTCTGATTCGCTGTCGAATACGCTGTATTGGCTAGACCCGAGCCGAACGGCGAGCTGCACGAGAGTCGGAGTTAAACAAAATCCTAGAGACAATGGCAGCCTTATTTCCATCTCGGATGCCCGAGAGAGTCCGCGTTTCGAATAAAATGTGGGGGAACGAGGCCGAGCCGGGGGGTCGTTGAAGGCCGGATTGCTGGGCTGTTCGGATCCGGGAGGCCAAACTCCAGAGCATTGACACTTACATGTGCTTAGCAGGCGTGGATTGAGCTTGTGTAAGTCTTTGAATGATATGACAAAGATATCACATCATGTTGTTTGGTGTTGCCTCTTCCTTCATCAGCATCAAGACAACAACGCCATCCTCACTTTGCTTTAGCCTCAAGCTCTCTTCGTCCTCTCTATTCTCCCGACTCCGTTTCCACTCTCCCAAGTCCGCATTCAGCAAGACTCTAGTCTAATTGTAAATCACCCTCTAGCCATGATTTTGTGTTACCGTATTGCTCTATGGCGTAAGACAGCTTGCCCCACCAAACCTCCACGTTTCTTCAAGGGCCGGGGCTTTCCGTCCTAAACGACACATTGCCCAATCCGGTCAGCCATTCGAGCTGCCTCACCTCAATCTGATAACACAAGCTGTACTGTATTACACAACCACCCATTGCCTGCCTAATTATTAATATATCATGACGCAAACCCCCCTCCAAAAGGTCTGCCTCATAGGCGCAAATGGCACCCTGGGCTCCGTCATTCTCCGGGCGCTCGTCGACGCAAACTCCTTCGACGTGTCCGTCCTTCAGCGCTCAAACTCATCTTCTTCCACGACCTTCGATCCCTCAGTCACCCGCCTAGTCGCCGACCCTGATCTCGCCGTCGACGAGCTCACACAAGTCCTCAAAGGCCAGGATGCCGTCATCGCCGCGTTCCCGCTCGGCCAGGGCGACCAACATCTGCGACTCGTAGAAGCTTCGTTCAACGCCGGTGTCAAGCGCTTCATCCCCGCCGACTTTGGGAGCTGCGACGCCAGCGACGCAGAGCCGCAAAAGTACCTGCCGCTGTATCGCAAGAAGACGGCAGTGCGCGAAAAGTGCGAGGCTCTGGCCGCCCAGGATGGCACAGGTTTTTCATGGACGACTCTTGTGTGCGGCCACTTCTTTGATCACGGGCTGCGCGACGGGCTGCTGCACTTCAACTTTGATACCCGTACGGCTCAGATCCTGGACGGAGGCGCCATCAGGGCTTCGACCTCGACGCTGCGTCGCATTGCAGAGGCAACTGTCCGCATCCTCGAGAGACCTGTCGAGACTCGCAATCGTGCGCTGTATGTCCAGAGCTTCAACCCGACGCAGCTTGAGATTGTGGCTGCTCTGGAGAAGGCAATGGGCGAGAAGTGGCACATCCAGCATGTCGATTCCAAGCCGTACTTGGAGGACGCGCAGAAAAGGCTAAGCAGCGATGATGAAAAGGCTGTTTTGATCGCCATAGAAGACATTGTCTTTGTGCTGGGAGCTCTAGATGCCGATTGGACAAAGCGGGATGGGTTTGCGATGGAGTTGCTTGGTTTGAAGGATGAGAGTCTGGAAGACGTTGTGAACGAGGTGGTTGCTGCGTATAGAGCCGAGACTTTATCGGCATGAAGCGGTTAAGAGCTCAATACATGACCTTGGTTGCATAGAGATATACACGCTTTAGTTATTACAAGAGTCTGCGTATAATTACTGCTGACGATAATGTCTATTCAGGTTTTAGGGTAGCATTCGCATAAATGCTATGGAAGCTTACATTAATACACACACGATGCTCGCAGTACTGACTTTCTTGCGATTAATTACATACTCAGGCTTCAATTCCCTGTTTCTTGTCTACAGAATTCCCTAGCACGCAGGGAGCACACAAGTGAGCACCATCAGCTTCAGCCGCAATATATAACATGCACAAGTGCTGGTTCGGAAGCGTTTATAATTGGCCGGCAGATTCTCGCCTGGACAAGGAATACGAGCTCGAGCTTCACATCGAATCATCGAAGTTCCGACTGATTTCTGTAAACGGATGTGAGTGGCACCTGTCCAACGCAATGCTGGCAGATGATCATCCATGTAGCTTGCAACTTGTAGGCAATCGCCCTTCAAGCTTAGAACTCTGGCCCAATCAACGACGCTCTCCGTTCGGAAGCGGCAACATCGACGTTGTACCCCTCAATGTCTTGCACCTCGCCAAGAATCGATCCTTCTGTCAATGTCTTCAACCGACCTATCGGAGCAATTTGTACCACAGCTGTAAAGCGCCACACAAGACACTTGCCTACAATGCGGCATCAATACTCGGACTGTCGCTACCTAGGTAGTCACGATGGAACACCATCACGCCACTTGACGGAGACAAACCGGCGCCAGATTCGAGTATATAGAGCAGGCTTTAAGCTCGCAAAGAAAAGACCGGGCCTGGAGACATCAGATCTCTCTCAAGTATAATCTTTTTCGTGCACCTATCAATAGGTTTTCCTAGAATATCTGTTGCATTCTAAACAAGCAGTCAGCTGTCAGTACACACTTGTCAGAATGCACTTCGCTTCGATCAGCACCGTCTTCACGCTCGCAATGTATGGCACTTCAAGCCAAAGCGTTAATGCCCGATCAACTCACGGTCCCCTGCTGACTTTAAACTCTTGTAACAAGACTCATTTCCACTGTTCATCCTCTGGCTGTCGCTACCCAAGAGAAGCCATGTCCCACAGTTACTTCGACAACGACACACTGCAGCACTTGTCTGAGGGCTTTGTGCCTGATTGAGTCGACGATAACGCCGCAAGTGGGATGTGCAGCAGCAGTTCCAACGGTATATACTGGCTTCCCATGTTGTGGTCCATGTCCTGGAGGATGCGGGACCATATACATCACGCAGAGCAAAGAGCCAACGACACCGGCCCCTGCATCGCCAACTAGCTGTGTCCCTACCGTCACGGTAACGACGCATCCTGGCATCAGCGAAGGCTGTAAATTCTACTGCTCCAGCGGATTTTGCATAGCCGATTGTGAGCGACCCAAAATAGCACGCGCGAGTGAAGCCTCCATCTTATGATTCGTCGCCACAGACTTCGTGACCCTGCCTTGTGGTTGTTCACAAGCCGCAGGCGTCGTCACCAAGACGGTCACCGCTTGTGCAGCATCGAGTCCATGTTGGAACTGTCAAACTGGATTTCCATTTACAACCACGGCCACGGATTGTCCAGCGTCGACGAGCAAGAGTTAGATAAGAGGCTGTGCTGCCAAGATTTGATGCCGTAACGACGCTTGCTGCACGCAGGACAGCGGCCCGGCAGATAGCTAGGATAGGGCCCTGTGGATGAAGAATACTTCAATGTAACCTGCGGTTATTTTTGTAGAAGCCCAATGCTGCACACCTGCAGATGATGAGAAATGGGCACTGCATAACGGCTGCAATATCACCTCAACTGCGCGGTGATAGGCGAATCAAAGGCGGGGGAGGACAAGGACCAGGACCAGGCCTGACGGGATATTTTAGGAAAATGAATCATGACGACGTTGGAATTTGCGATTTGACGAGTGTCCAAAAGAGGGTATGAGTTGAATCGAGTGTAGATGCTTGGACCATGAAGCATCCATCAATGTTATAATTGGAACAGGCGAGGCAAGGATGGACGGGAAGATGATGGAAGACTCCCGTCAAGACTCGGCTCCGACTCGGGCATCAAACCAGCCCAGGCCCACGACAGCTAGTTGAGGTTGTCCAGTTGCTAAATACAGTAACAGTTTAGTCAAATCTACTGTGGGTTGACGTGCCGCTCTCCTGCAGCTGGCTAGTGCTATCAGCACTGTATTTGATCGCCCACCCAACTGCACCCCCAGCACGCGACCTCTATCCACCACTGGACAGGGCTATCCACAGCACTCAGCTGGCTGCTAACAATGGATGGATCGCCACAGGCAACGCAGCTCCATGCACAAGGAAACGACATGAATTTGCCATCACCAAAAGGGCATACGTGTACCCATTTAGCAATGACCACTACTAGCTGAGCTGATTTTCTTTTATCTTCTCTCAGCTTCGCCCCATTTACAGCTGACGCCTCAATCACCAGGTCCCTTTAGAAGAGCGACGGCCTCCCGGCTCCGTCCTATCGGCTGGCTCACCGGACTCTCAGCGCCCCTAAAATAAAAAACCTGGTGGCCTTGACACAGCACAGCCCCGGTGCGGTGACGTTTGTCATTTACTCCGTCTTCAAAAAAGCATCAGAAAAACAACAAAAACAAAGACAAGACAGACACACGACACCATCTTCGTCTCACGTTTGATTAAAACCACGGTCTTGTGCTAGGGTAATGCCCGTTCCTGCTTACTCTCTGGCAAGGATGTATTAATCTGCGTCTACTATCTTTTCTCCCCTCTCTCTGCAGCTTGTCTTTGATTTGTTTGGCCCGGCATTTGCTTGTCATCCTTCCTTTCGGCTTAGGTTTAGTCGCCTTTTTTCTCCGGGCCTTGATGTCCGGATGCCGTGAACCTGCAGCAATCCTTGCACAAAGCCCTCTTTTACATAAGAAAGGAGAAAAAAAAGCATGATCGTCAAAGTCACTCGTCACATAGCAGAGTGCCTGTAAGCTTAATTGCGCGATACATCAAGCAGCTATTTTCTGTTGCCGCGCGCCTTCTTTCCCGGATTTCCAACGTTCTTCAAGGCCTCCAGCATATTTCCCAATAGAGGCATATTTTGCAAGCGACACGAGAGCCATGGAGGCCCATTCACTTGCCTCCCTAAACCTGCTGGCGGCGAATCCGCCGCAATATCCCGAAAACCCGTCAGAGACAAGACTAGAGCCTTTGGTGCTCTACATCTCCAGAGTCCCTGGCACCAGAGGTATTTGGATGCCCCCTCACCTCACAGCATTGCTCATGGCAGAAGCTTACAAATAAATGCAGATGTTATTCTATCACCTTTTAAACCTCAGATCAAGAATGTCACAGGCGGAGATGTCTCCAGCAGTCTCTACTATGTTCATCTTGAGATCCCCATGCTGGATATAACCGGCCCTCAGCCATTGAGAGATGATGCGCAAGGTAGATCCAGCGAGGACAGCTCTATGACGAGGACGATTGCTCGGAAGCCGGTTCCTGGATCAATTTCATCCCAGACTCCCAATATCTCGATACAAGGTGATCAACAACAGCAACAGCAACCCCAGATTACTTTCGAAAACCCGACGTTGCGTCCACCAAACGATCTTAGTGTGCCTTTATACTCACAAGATGCCGAAGTTGCACCCCCTCTTCCCCCCAGACAATACGAATGGTCGGGCTCGGGATTCTCAGAGAGATCTTCCGAGCGGAATGCTCCAGATGGGTCACAGCAGTTGCGCCCATCTGCCTCTAGACGCAAGCCTGTCGGGCCAAGGCAGCTGAGCGATATTCCTCAGAGTCGGGTCTCCATGGACGAAACGGCACGCTCTAGAGATCAAACCAGAGATCGATCAGCTACCATGGGGCATACTAGGCAAAGTCGCTCTCTGTCTCCAATAAAGAACAGCGAATATTCTACGCCGCCATTTACCTTGAGCCTGATAAGGAGGGATCCAGGTACAGGAGACCAGTGGAACGTAGGCAAAATTTCGTCGTACGAGGTGAATACAGAGGTTGGGGAAACGGGCCAGTCTGCCACGTATCTCTCTGCATCCTCAGAACAGCGATCTCCTCAACATCCACCAATCGATATTCACATCGAAAGCGCAGGATATGCCAAGTTCCGTGGAAGGCCATCCAGCGCCATCCCCCCTAGGAGGAGCATGGATGCCGACCGATCATTCATGGACATGGCACCAGGCCCACGAGCCGATGGCATGTTCTCCAGACAGGTTTCCATGGCGTACTCGAGAAGTTTTGGCTCTGCGATACGATCCAAATTCCACCAGATGGAGCAGGCCGCTCGGAAGAAGGCAGTACACAATCGAAGCGAGAGCGAAGCATCGGCCAATTCGTTCAGCTCCGGAGAATACAAGTCCGGGTCGCCGACATCTTCACGTCCTGACAAGATGAAGCCGAGAGGATACACCTTTACAAGCCCCTGGGGTGGCAGATGCGAGTTTCGCACGGGCAACGGCGGCCGAAGCTTGCTGTGCCACCATTTCTTGCATGAGGGCGAAGTCGGAGCTTATAACCCGTTGGTCCCCGAGGCGAGTCCGTCAAGGTCGTCCACCGTTGTCAGCGAGTTACGCTTCAACCTTCCGGGCTCTGAATTTTTCCCTTCTGGTGAAGTCCCCAAGGGCGACGACCGCCGTCTTGGCCACTTCAGCAAGTTCATCAAGTCGGCCATGGAACGCTATGAAGATAGAGATGAAGATGATGTAATATCACCGTTTGACGTAAACATAGGCGGCGAGAGAGCTGGAGGAGGCAACCGCGGCAAGCGGGCCAAGCTCGGGAAGCTCATCATCTACCACGACGGGCTGAAGATGCTCGATCTGCTGGTGGCAGCCAACATGGGGCTGTGGTGGGGGACATGGGAAAGGAGCTTCTGAAAGCGAGTTGTGCATAGCGTCGATTATGCCGTTGAGCAATCCATCATGAGCGTGTAAATGCTGGTTTCTTTTTCCCTTGTTGTTTTTTGTTTTCTATTTTGTTGTTTTTTATCATAATACCTGGTTGGCATTAGATAGGAGGTAATAATGAGCTGTAGCACGCCGAGGTCGTTTGAGCGGGCGTTCAAGTTATATTAAGTATCACGTGCCATGTCACGAGCAGCCGATACCACCAATCACTGGCCTAGCAATGTAATCCCGCAGTGCACTAAGCCATTCATCCAAGGCAAAAGAGAGCCATCAAAAGTGCATCACGTCAAAAGTCGCCTCCCGCCCAATCGACGTCCCGCCCCAGGCGAGCCTGCTCTTTGCAACTCCGTCAATTGCAGCGAATCCCGACGACAATGGCGCCGACTCTCTCCGCCTCGGCAGCAGCCATGCTCGCCAAACGCCAGCTTGCCCGAGCTCCGGCCTCCACCAGCTCGCTCATGATGGCGACGAGGATGCTGGCCACTCCCTACCACCAGCAGCAGCGGGGATATGCGACTCCCAAGGGACCCCCGCCGCAGAACTTCCGAACGAGCAAGCAGGTCGAGTGGGTGTGGGAAAAGGACAGCCTGTTGGACCGGCTGGGCAAGTACTTCCTCATGACCGAGATGGCCAGAGGAATGTACGTCCTGCTGGAGCAGTTCTTCCGACCACCGTATGTTATATACCGGCTCCGAAGATTCAGTATTTTCACTGGTCACTGGTGTGAATAGGATTGCTGACTGGAGGGACGCAGCTACACCATCTACTACCCATTCGAAAAGGTACGCAGATTGCGCGGGGGATGAGCTAGATATCCATGCCGAGCCGCCTTTGGCCATTGAGCTGCGATTAACACTTTTCTTAGGGCCCCATTTCTCCCCGATTCCGTGGCGAACACGCGCTGAGACGATACCCCTCTGGTGAAGAGCGATGCATTGCCTGCAAGCTCTGCGAGGCCGTAAGGACCCCGCCAATATCCAGCGCATTTGTAGGGATTGGGAAATGCTAACTGCGCATGCGAACAGATCTGCCCTGCCCAAGCCATCACCATTGAAGCCGAAGAGCGTGCCGATGGCTCTCGCCGCACTACCCGCTACGATATCGACATGACAAAGTGCATCTACTGCGGTTTCTGCCAAGAGTCCTGCCCCGTTGACGCTATCGTTGAATCTCCCAACGCAGAGTACGCGACCGAGACCAGAGAAGAGCTGCTGTACAACAAGGGTGAGTTTGTGATGGTGTCCAATGGAGATGAGATCTGTAGCAGAATACTGATACAGCCATTACAGAGAAGCTGCTGTCCAACGGAGACAAGTGGGAGCCTGAACTTGCTGCCGCCATTCGCGCAGATTCACCTTACCGATAAGCTACACAAATCTAATTCCATTTTGTATGATGTGAGGGGAGAGAGAACCATTAGAAGAGAGGCACCAACGGAGGAGTCATGGACAACAGGATTGTACATAAGATTGGCGCTAAACAAAAAAAATAAGCCTTGCATTCGAATTTCGGCCATGGAATGAGTGAATGAATGGGAAAAGATGATAAAAAGTGACTATATAAGTATGGCAGCAATGAAGTGAGGGCGATGATACGTTGAAGCTACCGTTCAACTATCTGGGGAACATTTCAAGCCACCGGTGTTCACTGACCCCTTGCTGAAGCCAAATTCTGCATAACCGAGGCCGTTTCCACTAACTCCGAGACACCGAAGAAGTTCTAGTATGGGCCAACTCTGTGCTCATGGGAGATTGGAATCATATTGGGAGGAGTCTTGGTCGTTACCACTGCCTCCAAGGGCAGCTCCGCTTCCTCTAGAGTCATGATTCTCTACTGCCTTATCCTTCTTCTTTCTTTTGATACTGTGTTGGAGTTTCAGCAGCAAATACATTAGGAGGGTTACCTTGCCTATGGTGACTTTCATATTGAGCTTTGGTTCGGGTTAGGTATGTAATTAGAAATGACTTTAGAATGCAAAATATTGAGAGATATGACAAGTTATTTATAGGTACAGGTATGTGTTTCTTGGAAGATGTCATTTTAGTCAAATGCCATTCTAATTGTCAGCCTTGGTTCGTAATACCATCATGGTATCAAACTCAGCCATGCACTGACAAGCGCGGCTAAGCAAACTGCATAAATTTCTGTGACTGAGTGTACTACTAATCGGTATACAAGTATTGGTTAACTCAATCACATTGATACAGGGGCCTATCGATACAAATCAAGTATATCTTACATATCCTCAGGAACAATAAACACAGCCATACTCACATAATGTCCTTGGTACAGCTTCACCAATCCGGAGCTCTCCATTCCCGCTGATTCAGCCTCCCCCTCCAACCCACCAGCTGCACGTGACTCCTCATCTCCCCTCCGCACTCCAGCTTTCCAATGTAGCGAATGTACCTTTGTACCGGCCCAGCTCCGAAAAACCTCCAATAGACCGAGTAATAGCCAGCGAGAAATTTATCATCGCCGGAGCAGCGAAACCACGTCCGTCACCTTTACAAAAAAAAACCGCCCTGCCGCAAACCACCCAAAACCCGCCCAATTGACCTCGCCTCTTTTTTGTTCTCTTCTTCTCTTTCTTCTTTTCCCTCGTCTCCCCCACAAAAGCCGCAATCATGTTCCGCACTGCTGTCCTCCGCACATCCGCCTCGGCCGTCCGCGCTGTTGCCCGACCCGTCGCCATCCGAAGAACAGCTGCCCTGGCCGCTGCTCCCCGCGCCGTCGCCGCTCCTTTCCGTGTCCAGAGCCTCATGGGCGTGAGGATGTACAGCGCTGGTGGTGGCCTGCACAAGGAGGAGGTTGAGGGCCGCATCATGAGCCTGCTGCAGGGATTCGACAAGGTAGGCTTAAACCAGCTCGCTTTATTGTTCGCAGTCGTTTTGTCATCTCGGAGTCATTCGGAGGATAGTTTGAGGGAATGGGAGGCGATATCAGTGAAACATTCTGGGATGCATTGTGTTTAGCAGAGGAATAGCTGCGCAATGGCAAGATTTGGACCTTAAAGGTGTTCTTGATGGAGGCGGGGGAGCAAAAGAGAGCGGGGTGCAAACAACATCGTCATGTTGGATATGCGCCGGTCCATACCTTAGCCTTTCTTATTTCAATTCTTGTGTACGCAAACATTTTGCTAACTATTTGCGCTCCAGGTCAACGACGCTACCAACGTACGTCCGGAAATACCACCACGCGCAATAGCCCCCCTCATCGAATGACATTCCTAACTCTATCCTTTAACAGATCAAGCCCACTGCCCACTTCGCCAACGACCTCGGCCTGGACAGTCTCGACACCGTTGAAGTCGTCATGGCCATCGAGGAGGAGTTCAGCATCGAGATTCCCGACAAGGATGCCGACAGCATCCACTCAGGTACGAGAAGTCGCACCCACCTTCCCCAGATCAGTATCAAATAATGCTCACACTCCCGTTTTTTACAGTTGACAAGGCTGTCGAGTACATCCTCAACCAGCCCGACGCCCACTAAATTACTCCCGACCCGAACGACTCTGGAAACACTGGCCAACCTCCCTGTTTTTCTCCCTCCTTTAACTCTCCAAAGTCCCTCCCTCGTTATGGCACTTAAAATTCCCTTCCTACGATATACCCGGATATGAAGAGGTCAGGATATAAGGGATGGGGTTTACCGAGATAAAATAATGAATTTGTTTGGGGACTTGTAAAATATAAAAAAAAGGCCATTCACGGTCAAAACAGGTGATACCAGGTGATGGTAAAAAAAAAAGAATCTCAACTAATTTTTTTTCTTCATCTTCGAGAGACAGAGAGAGAGGGACAAAGGGACTCTTCTTTTTTTATTATGCCAATGTTTCCAGGATCCGACGGAAAGGAGTGTGATGATGGGGGAAAGGTTCAGAAATGGGAAGTGTTAGAAACGGGAAGAAAAAAAAGGACGATTGTATTGATGGTGGTTGGAGACGCTGCGAAAGACGGTCTTTGCAGCTTATCCCTTGTACTAGTGTATAGAAGAATCATTTTACTCTCCACCAAAACTGCCAGAGTTGGTATCTGCCGTGATGTGCAAAATGAGGCGCCATTCATGATTTCTCTAAAACATATCTACAAATGAGCAGTCTTACACGACATTTACGAATAAACGAGATAATACCTAATAGGACATTGACAAAAAAACGAGATGATAACATGGATTATTAACGAAAGATACAAATGAATGCCGCAAATGCATCTTGGAACTCCAAGCTCAATATTTCACCTAATTGCATATACAAATTCCCCTATCCTAATGATACATACACCTTAAACGCAGATAAATCATAGTTATTGACTGTCGGCGTAACCTGAGAGATATTATTACGGTTGCTTCCAAGCTCGCTGCCCCCAAATGTGACTCCCAACGGTCGACGCAACTCCTCCGAATATATCCTGAAGAGAAAAAAAAAGTAGATCCAAGTTGGTCTCAGGTTCCGTCCCTTGGTAGCAGAACTATTATATCCACCTCCACCTCCACCTCCAATGTCTGCTTGTCGTCCGTGTGAAATGAACAAGATCCCGGTCTCAATAACCGTAAAGTGAAAAGAAATATTAACGGGAAACCAGGGCAAATGCTAGAATAAAAAAAGGTGATCCAGTAGTTTGTTACTTTCATTTTTTTCTTATGATGAAAGCATATGATGCTTGTTGTTGCTAACTCCTTGATAGACCGTAGACCAGAAAATGAGAGGTATGACTTCAGGGCGTGGCTGTCCTAGATGGCTCCTCGATGGCATGACGGAAAAGATGAAAAAAATAGAAAAACGCAAAAAACTCCAACCTATATAGTATATATACACCCCCTGTGTCCCTTTTTGTTTCCCCTTTCCCAGCCCTTGGCGATGTTGGATGCCGGATGATGATTTTGTGTGTTCCCCTTCCAAAGATTGCCATCGATATTGCGAGAGAAGACGAGAGAAGAGAAGAAAAAGTAAAGCGAAAAGAAGCAAGTAGCTTGGAAGGACATCCGGAAAAATTCGGTGGACTGAACTCTCGGTTTCCAAGAAAAATGCACGTCGCATGGCGCGCTGTCGTCTGGTTCGTAGATCGTCATGCCTTCGTCAAAAATGGTGTGATTCCTCCGTTTCGTCGATTGTAGTTTTAAAGGGTTGGGGGTATCTTGTCTAAAGAAATATGCTCCGCCATATTTTTGTATTTTCCTCTTCGCGAAGTCTATTACCTTCCGTTGACTGGTACAGCGTCTCGTCCCTCCTTGGTGCCGTTAGAAGCAGGCACTGTCTTGCTGGCGGCGGCGGCATTGGCATATGAGCTGTAGGCTCCCAGTGCCAAACCAGAAGAGCCGCGCTTGCGAATCTTTGACGATGAAGAGTCATCCTCCTCCTCCATGCTGAAGACGAAAGCAGGGTCTTCTTCATCAATCGGAGTGGTAAATCTGCCAGTGACGGACGAACCAATGCTGGCGCTGGAGACGTGGCGCTCTAGACTGCGGTCCTTGCCGATGGGTGAGATACCATTGCTGGCGTTACGGCTGACGGTGGGGTGCAGAAGCGGGCTTGAGCTATTCAACGTGTCATCCAGCCGGCTGCGTTGGAGCTGCTGTGACAGGACCGACATGGTTTCGTTTCCGGCCCCGGCAGATGCCCGGAGGTCGTTCGACATTTCTTTAGCTAGGATCGAATTTCGCAGGGGGCTGCCAACATGGCCGAAAGCTGATCCGGCAGCGCTTCGGGCCGATCTGGTCATCTCCTCCTCTTCCTTCTGACGCTGGAACAGGGGTCCCCATCGGCTCGGGCTTGAACCGATGGGGCTGCCATACTTGCCAAGACTACCGAAGCTGAAGTCGGGCCTCTCGTCTCGCATCGAGCCTCTCCGGGCCTTTTCTGCTGGGGTCAACAGATCCTGCAAATCGCCAGGAACAAGATTTTCCGGCACGTTGTCGTCGTCGCCAAAGGCAAACTCAGCCTCCCAATCGCGGTCAACCATGTTCTTGGGCATGCTGGCGCTGAGCAGTCGTGGCTTGGGATATCGGGTTGAATGCATAATTCGTTTCCCAAAGTACTCTTCGCCTGTGAGATGCTGCGAGTCTGGAGGGCTGCCGGCGGTGGGGGTAGCAAGATGCTCGGATGACCCAAAGGCTGACGAGTGGAGCAGCTTGAGCGTCTCGGAGGTGCGTTGGTCCTTGATGCTGCTAAGTGATGGAGACGGTGACTCGAGACCAAACTTTGACGGCACAGACGAAGGCCATGGCGCAGCAGGGAAACGGGCGGCGTTGGAGATGCCGTTGGAGTCGAACGAAGAGGGCAATGGTGCATCGAGCACGGACAAGCCCCTTGCAGCGGGCGACAGGCCAAAGCCAAGGCGGGAGGGGTCGTCGTCGGGAGGAGAGCCATAGCTAGACTCTGTGACGGAGTACGGCGCATCAATGGTAGGGGGGCCGTTATCGTGGCCACTAGAGAGGCCGAGCTCCTGAATCTCATCGCCGTGATAAGGATATACGGCTTGGTCGGCGCGGTAGAGGGACGATGTCAAGGCACTGGCGGTCGAATGGCTGAAGGGGCTACTGACAGAGCCCGGGGTCTGTGAGACGGGACTGGCGCCGCCCGCACGATTGGCAAGATTGAGGGGATTTGGGCCGATGGTAACGCCATTCTTACCGTAGTTGATTCGGCGGCCGTCAGGCAGGACGTGGATGTTTGCGCACTTGGGGCCAAACTTGCAGTTACCCTAAGAGGAAAGCCCATGGTCAGCCAACCAATCTAGACACATCTGTCTTTGTCATGCCATGGCGCAGCAAGCGAGAGGTTGCAGAAAAAGGGATTCAGAGAAAAGACGTGGAGCACATCGGACGAGCCTCGGAGAGGATGTAGATGGGTGCGGGTATTTTCGGGCAAGGAGGAAAAGAAATGGGATCAATGTTGGTTTTTGGCCTTGGTTTCTCTGGTTGTCGCAATGGGTGACGATCACGGAGCCGAAATATGCAAGATATGACAAACACAGACGCACACACACACAAAAAAAGCAATGCTCACCTTTGCGAAATATTTGCAAATCGTCTCCGAGGCGGCGCCCAGGTCATGGCTGAAGGGACAGGCATTGCCGGCCTGGCAGGCTCCCTGGCGGAAAAACTTGCACGGGACGTGCGATGTGTCTACAAGCAGCAATCAGAGGTCAGCGCATGGTCGGGCAATCAGTCGTTGCTCATCGTGAGGCTCGAGCCGTGGTCGTGTGCCGGGCTTTCGGTGGGGGAGGCCCTAGACACTGGAGGCGGCAAACAGAAGAGCAGAGGATTTGTGTAACGTACTGGGCGGGCTGCGCGGCATGCTATGATGGCTGCTTCCGTGAGCGGCGCTGGGGATGCTGAGGCTGCCGCTGCGCATGTGGCGATACTCGGGCATCGTGGCGATGGGAGACGAGAGTCGCGAGGCTCGGCGGTCGAGCGCAGAGGGAACAAGAGGTGAAACTAGAGGAAGAGGAGAAGAAGTGCTGCGAGCGTGACGGATCGAGTTTGAGGGGGAGAAATTGGGGTTTAGGTGCTGCGCGGGCGGTAAAATGACAGCGTGGGCGGGGATAGAGGGGACGGAGGGGGGAGACAAGGCCCCTGGAGGCGCTGGAGGCGCTGTACAGGCAGCCGTAGGGGGGCCCTGTAGCTGGATTCCAGCAGCGCCAGCGCCAGCGCCTGCATCCGGGCCGCCGACGCCGAACTGGTACGGGTTAATGTAGTGCATGTGCGAGTGCTCGGCTGCAGAGGCTGCCCGTCCATGTACTTGCAGCACTTGGCCGGCGCTGGTGATATTGGTATCCCCTTGACCTTGACCTTGACGGTGACGATTTTGAGGATTCACTTGGTGACTATTCATATACCCGCTTCCCGCAGAATCTTTGTGTCTCAGCACGGCTCGTAGCAGCGCTCCCGGCCGTCGTAGCCTCTGGGGCGGGAGCACAGTGTATCGGTCGTGGATCGCGGCCATCCGCTTATGGAGAAGCAGGGTGGGACTGTGGTAATAAGAGATAACAGGGCCGAGAACCAGTCCGAAGACGATAGCTGTGAAGAAGATAATGAACGAAAGTGGACGGATAAACTGGCAAGAGAAGAGAAGAGAATCGGCGAAAAAGAACAGGAAGAAGAAGAAGAAGACAAGTAGAAGAAAGCAGGGCGTGATTTGCGCCTACTACCACGTTTTTGTACTACTCGGTCCCAACATAAACGTCAAAAGAGTACGGAGTAGGCGCTCCCGTATTATCGACTAGCAGCAGCTTAATGTGAGGCTGTCGATGGGCTCTGCTGTGGTCAGTCGCCCGTCTGTCAGCAGTGCATGTACCGAGTTTGCGGGTCCACCGGGTTCGAGAGCTCATCAGCGGCCGGTACTGCAGAGGATGTGAGATTTCGTAGACTGGCAGTCGATCAACTAAATCGAATGATATCCAAGGCGGCCGCGACAAGGGGGGGTGGCAGGGGGAGCAGGACAGGGAGGGTCAGTTGAGGTGCTGGTAATATATCACGGCAGATGTCGATGAGTCGGCCGCCTATCAAGCCGATGCACGGGGACGTCTAGCTTATTATATAGGTATGGCTGCATCTGCGAAGAACAGGCCGAGGGAGGTTCAAGTGTCTAAGATGTGTAGGTACATGTAGGTACTCACGATATGTGCTGATATACGCTGCGAGCCCCTCTCGTTCGCGTCAGGAGCATCTCCTGTTCATCAGCTCCGAAGCCAAAGCGCAACGTACCCCAGTGGCGAGGGTCTTTTGGATAAGCAATGAATAGGTAGTTGGATGTGATGGTCAAGAGAGAGGCGTGTAGACACGAGGACGGGCATGGGCGTAGGTGTAGTTGTGTTAGTCAAAGTAGACGCTGTGGATGGGAGATGTAGGCGTGGGTGTAGATGCGGATGCGGAGACGGCGTCCTCGGAGTCATCAGGATGGTGTGCTGAAACAACACAGCTCTTTGGCGATGGCCTCGAGGTACCTCACATCCAGCGCCAAATACGAGGACCGGACATGTATCAGCGTTGGATCAAGTTGGTTGCATGTTATATGCGAATGCCGCTAGCCGGAGCAAGAGCCCGCGCAAGTTGGTGAGGCGGTTGTTCGATGCCCCTCGAGCATTCGCCTTCTTCTTCCAAGACACGGCGAGGCGATCATACATGTAGTTAAGCCACTAGTCTCAGAGATAGACTGAGGGCTAGTAGAGCGTTGGCCAGCTCAAGGTTTCGATTCAGCTCGGAAGCGACCGTCGCTCCCGTTTCTGACTCGGGCAAGGCTCAGAATAGCAATGATGGTGGATCTGACAGCCTTTGAAGTGTTTCAAAATACGGTCGATACGGCCCCGAGTTGAGTTGAAAGACGACGATGTTTCCAGGAAGCCGGACTTGATAGCCCACTTGCCGAAGAAGAGGGGCGAGGAAGGCAAGGAAGCATGCCACTCGCTGTGGGCTGACATTCCTTTGGCCCAGACCAGAACAACATCAAGTCCCTCATCCGCTCAGATGCGAGAATCGGCTGGCGTTGAAACTCCTGTGCATGCCTCCTCGTTTAACATGGCCATAGAGAACTGCGCGTCTTGTCTCTATGTGTCTTGATGCATACAGTATGTGCCCATCTGTATGCATCCGAGATGATGCCTGCATCTGTAGCCACCCTGCTGCAGATCATTCATGGCAGCTATGAGCACGGGGCCATCTTGTCGATGATCTTGCCCCGTAGCGATTTGCATGGCATTTGGGCGTCTCCACGGCCGGTAAATAAAATATATAAAAAAGGGAAATAATAACCACACCATGATCCCGGCCTCTTTATCAAATGTGCTCGGCAGAATACATATGTAACAAGACAGCATCAGAGGTTCACGCCCACACCATCAAAGCCGCGATATATCCACACGGACGGTAGTACCGCTACGACTTGCATGGTACTCAGAACTCGTACTCCGTACTCTATAGATACATTTTGGTCTCTTTGCCGGAATGTTCGCAACGCTAGTCGAATGGGTTTGCCTCGTGTTACGCATGAGTTTGTCATCCAGGGCCGTCGAAATGTCTTGGCTGAGCCGCGTTGCGAAGCCATCATCGCCTGCCCACGCAATCTTGTCCCACATTCGAGGCGTTTAAAATAGATCAAAGATTGTCAAAGACGGGCCCCAGCCGCTACTGTTACACCGCATATGATAGTACATCTTGATTCGGTAACTTGTCGGTAGTATTGCAACCGTCTCCAGCGTCTCCAGCTACCTACAGCACATACAGGCAGTAAGCACATATGATTCCACGGCCGTGCTTTTCATGTCGACTGGTTCCAGTCTCTGTGCTTACCTGTAGCTTGTCCAGTGCTTCCGGGCTGCAGCTACGCCGATACCTGACTTATACCAGAGGCATGGATCGCGTACTCTGCTCTTTACCCTCACCAGCTCCAGCAACCTCCCGCGCGCTAGCACAACCTGGGCTTGTCAAACCGACCGCCGACTCTCAGTGAGGAAACACGGCCGTCGCAGGGAAAAGCACAGACGGATAGAGTGCGCGCGCGAGACAGCGCCAGCGAGCTGATCCCAGTCCATTTGCCTGTACATGGCTAGGGAGCCAGTAGGCGTCTCGGCAAGGTGGTACCTACTACCGGTATATCCAGCAAAAGAACGAGGTCAGTACACAGAATGCGTGAATCCGGGGAAATCGCCCATCTCCCTGGCCATCCCTGCAGGACGCCACAAAGCATAGAGCCGGGATTCAGAGCCATTAGTTCGGGCTTCATCAGGTGCCAGGAATAGAAGGCATGCACTCGTCATCACCGCCCGGGATACCATCGAGCCGAGATGCAGATTGCAAGTAGTAGTGATCCATATTGAGGCTGAGACAATGACGAGAGCAGGCACTTAGTAGTATTTCCATCTCGTCTTGCGGTAAAAGATAATGGAAGTATGCACGTCGTATGTATGTAAAGTATACTTGTATGCACATGTAGAGAGACGCGTAGTACCTCAACCGAGAGCACGGAGTAGTAGCACATGAGGTTGTGGTATCTCTTATCTGGCGCCAGAATTATTCCGACGCTCTCCCATTCGGCCTCGCCTGCATCAACCTCTAGACGAGATGCGATGCGAGCGACAAAATGCCTCCGTGCAATCACAAACACAAAACACCTCGATGGCGCCACAAAGAGGAGAAGACGCCAATAATCGCACGCCCGGCCGGACCGCTCGAAACGACTCGTCAATTCTCCCAGCTCTCGCCATTGTTCCGTTGCCTGGCCCGGTCTCAGCTGTGCAAAGTTCTTGATTTTTCCACGACGCTTCGGCCCATGACTTGCATCCGTCGCCTGTAGCTGCGTCCACTCATGGTTCAGGCCAGCCCTCCTTGCCTTCAAGGCCGTCGGCATGTCTCAGGGCAAACGGAGCGCTAGTTTTGCCCTCATGCCCGGGCTGGCGAATGAGGTTGCGCGGACTCCCAACTCCGAGGCGATGTGCGGTGCCTCTACATTGATTTGGTTAGACAGCTATCTATCTGTTCTTTTAGGTGACATGGGTAAATGGGCTACATGCTATCCGCCATGTCTTCTCTCGATACCTGCCGATCCTTACTTTTCATGTTTCGCCTTCATTCCGATTCGCTTCCCACTTACAGCTATCTTATAATCTCTTTTTCTTCGATGCTAATGACCGCTGACTAAAAGGCGACGAAACACACATCAGATAATCTCCCACCGAGAAGAAAAAAAAAAAAAAGGAAAAAAAAAAAAAGAATGCCGCACATCTCGGTCGATAGGGGCTTGTACAACATCCACGAAGCTGCCTGTACCTGTCGACGCTTTTCCCTTTTCAGCATCAAGAACGGGAGGCTGTTCGTTGCCTCTGCTTGGACGTTGGACGAGAGAGGCTATCAACGACAAACGACGCCACCAAGAGGCCATGTGCAGGGGCAGCCGAGTGCTTGGATTCTGACTAGCGATATGGCTTAAGCCCATGTCCAAGACACCTGCCCACACCGGCCGGTCAGCCTCAGTCCGCCGAGGTACTAGTCGTGGGCTAGTCTGATGATAGATGCCATCATCACCTCCCGCATTTGACTTTTGAGCCCATCAGCCGCGAATGATATCTGCCGCTCAAACCACGCTACCATGGCCCGATAGCCTTCGATACGAAATACGCCGCCGTGCTATTGGCGAAGGATGTGAATTTCCAAACGTTCATGTGGCTGTCGTGGGAGACGGACACGCATGGCTTGCTCTTCCGAATCCCAGCCAACCACAAGCCGAGCTTCATGCCTTGCCTGCAAGTGCACCGGCATGCCGCATCTGCTCACACCTTTTGCCCGCCCTATTATGCATCCTTATGCACATCTCAAGCGCTAACGCAAGCATGTGTGAAGATGCATGCATGGTGGGGACGCACTTAGAAGCTCTGTACGAGGGTCATGCGTCCCGCATCGTCGTTGCAATACTCCATACTCCGACCTCCCCTCAGCATCACCTACGCGCAGCTACACGCAGCTACATGCAGCTACACGGCGCAAACTGTGCTTACCAGATGCGAATCATCGGTTCTAGAAACATGAGTCTAATCACCCCTTGATGGCTTTTTTTTTTTTTTTTTTTTTTTTACGTCCTGTCACTTGGCCCTTTGGCTTATACTACTGACTTCCCCTTTCAGTAGTGAGTTGCTAACCCATTAGCATCCGAAGTGCGCTCCATACAGTTGCGGACACTTTGCGGACTGGCTTCACGCTTTCTCTCTATTTGCTTTGGCTCTCCCAGTTCTTTCTGGTCTAGGTGTGGGCCATCCCAGGCGGCCCTCTCCGCATCTGCCACCTCTCATTCCCGTAAATGTCTTATGGCGAAAGCCAAGTTTGAGGAACGTCTGACGCCGGCTTTCGTATCTCAACCGCAACTCGGATGCTCTGGGGAAATATGATGGACCAAAGATCAGGAAACCATTTACGAAGTGGCATTGATAGACGGCCTAGCCGGGTCTTCTACCATCTACTCGCACCCCCCTCCGTCTTGTTGCTGTGTTCACTGGAGCCGCAGCAGGCGCAAGCCCTCGGAGGCTCAGACCGTTGCGACATCCCTGTTAGTTTGGTGTCTGCTTCACATCTATGCCTCTAATCCTGCAAGATCTGCCACTTTCAGACCAAGCACTCCATTACTGAATCTCATGATCCCTGCCCACTCACCCCACTAAGATGCCGGCTGTGATGGCCAACCTTGCCCACCTGTCCCGGCTAGTTTTGTGGTCATCCGCCCAACGACACCATTCACACGCCTCCCCCCTCCTCTATGTGTGCGTTTCCTTGCCTCCTGAGACGCTCTTGGCGGTATCGTCAAGGGGTATCACCATGCAACCAGATGATGCGCCATCATATCGTCTTCCAATCAGCAAAGGTCACAGACGCCTTGGGATAGGTAATTATGACGTTTGCTGTATTCTTTTGCGGCTCTTTTTCACCAGAATCCCCCCGTTTTGCTCCGGATTTCACGTCCTCCGGATTTGGAATCCTAATCTTGACTCTCATTGCTTTTCTCTCTGGGGCAAAGTATCTTCTGATGTGCAGTTCTGCTCTAGTGTCACCTGGATACCTCAACTTATATAAGCAACTCTCGTGATACTTTATGACAAGCCCAAGCCAGGACAGAAGTTGCACCACGCCGGTACGCCGAAGACCACATTAATTATATTACCGGACTCTTTCACGGCCCTAGTGCCGATTCTAAACGGGCCGCCTAGTTTGTGGGCTCTAGAGACAGTCTGAATCCTGACTGATCCTGATTTGACGTTTACTCGGCTTTGTCATGAGCGGCGCCATGATGGGCTTACCATGGATCCCTGGTCCTTATTGGAAGATCCATGCATGCCATGGTTACCGTAAAGAGGCAATTCTTTTGCATGTGACGGCAACAGATTTCGAGAGTGGGTGCATGCGCCCGTCCAGATCTAGTAAATGCAGGCAGCACGGAAACTTTAATCCGTCTTGGCCCAGTAACGGGCCTCTCATCGAGCCAATGAGTGACACACGTCCAAGCGTGTTGCTTGAGAAATCTCCCTGCACCAGGATGCCATTCGATCTATTTGTCCGAACCCTTCTTCTCTATGTAAGCCTCTTTTCGCTTCGCGATTCCTCAATCAGGTTTGAGGCCTGGTTCTCATTTATTGAGGGGCAAGAACTTGCGTGAACCCCCCCTTTTTTGGTTTTTACGAGACAATTCCATGCGCTATCAAGAGGTGTTGTGACAGTTTGTCTTATGCAAGCATTAATACTTGTGATGGAAGTACGTCAAGGGGTGTGTCCCAAGATGAGTGAGACTGCTCCCAAATGAGCATTGTGACTACGCGTATGAGACTACAGTGTGATTTGCAACTCGTGATTCGCAAATGACATTCTTTTAGCATTGTCATCGTTTAGGACTCAATGTTGCTTTACGATACCGCTAAAAGACGTAATTGGCCAGTTGAATGATTTGATATCCGAAGTAGCGCACCCAAACTTGGGGTGAAGTAGATTTAGCTGTGCCTGGACAATCAGGATCATATTAAGATATCTGACATTTGACCTGATGTTGACTAATTTAGAGTCGACAGCTGTCATTTGTCTTGTGCTTTAGTTTTTGCCAACGAAGACAGGCTAGCTATGCATACGGATCAGCTGAGTTGTTTTATGGTTCGATCAAGAAGAATTAACTTTTTGGCAGCTGTCATTATGGCGTGTGAGATGTGATGAATTTTTGGGGTTGAGCAGCATTTGGAGATGAGATTATCAAAGAGAGAATGAAAATGATTATCATCGCTTTCAAGGAGATTGAATTTGTATGTGCAATTGTAATGGAAGATATTCCAAGTTGACAGCAATACATCTGACGAGTCAAAAATTGGGAAACGATTATTCATTGCTAAGCGACAATTATCATAGACCATGTCAATGGCACATACCAATACCATCTCAACTTCCATTGGTGATGTTTCGTTTCATTGATTGAAGATCATCAACGACGGTATATATCGATGGCTTCTGAATAAGATGATGGAGTAAAGGACAATGCCTATGTAATTAGCAGCCGTTTCGAAATCACCACCATGGAATATATATCCGATAGATTGTCATCGACCAGTTAATGGGAATTACTTGCAATCAGCTACAACGGCTGGATTAGAATGGATATTTAAGGGAACTGTTAGCCGGCATCCTAAGTTCTAACTCCGCTATCCAGCATCCCATATCAGAAAGTTTTAGCTAACTAATAAATAAATATACCATAGACTACTCGTAAAGAAATATAGTTATAGTAGCAGATACTAGATTAAAATATCTATAGTAGCAGAAAGTAGCGACAGTAGCAGATACTGAAAAGGTACTTAGGTACTATAGGAAATTATTATTTATTACCTAGTAGATATTGATTATGAGTGAGGGAATAAAAGGTTTCCCTCCGCATTATGTTCTGGCTCTTGAACCTCATCCAATCGCTGGGGTGCCGAGGATATTTACTTTTGCGACGGGCCGATTTCCCTAGATACCTATATAGACCAAACGTACAATACACATTACAAAGTTTCTCGTTTCACCAAAGCCAACTATTTGATCGACAAGAAACTTGCAATATCATCAACCGTGACTGCAAAATTATCAAGCACGAATACAGAATCATCGACCGCGGGTGCAGAACCATCAACTACGGGTGCAGACAAGCCTCGCTGCACGCACTACATCCCTTGCCATTGTCCCTCGCTCCCTGAGTACGCTTGTCTGCCGCTAGGAGATGAATCGTCTCCATTGTGGATGCAAAGGACTTATGAAGACGAAGACCAAATAAGGTCATAATTGAGAGACTGAAGAAGCAGTGTTGGCGACGGATACCTACCGCCTTGCACGATGCATGGTTTGTTCTTAAGACTGGTCGTCCGCTAAAGCCACTCAAAGTACGGTCATTCCGATGGCTGATATCATCTGACTTTATTCCCCGGGGATACGACAATGGACAAGCATCATGGCGCATGCTTGTGCGGTCATACCTCATAGACATACCCAGGCAACTAGCTGAGGGAAGTAGCCAACAGCCTACGAGTATTTTTTCATGGCTAAATCATACGAGACATAACGGCTATATAGATTATCGCACAAAAGATGACAATGCGCCTCCCGAGATAAACTGCGGGGGACGAATGGTCTTCTCTCAATACAGCAAGGATTTTAATAAAACCTTGTTCGGAGACTGGCTTGTTATAGTCTACGTTTGGGTTATTGATCCTATATGGCTGCTGAAGATCGATATCATGGACTTGGTCTCCCTCGATAGTGTAACTGGGTAAGTGACCGGAACTCGTACTCCGCATATCATCTTGAAACATCACTTACATGTTGTATCTTATTTCTCTAGTATTCGCGCTTGGGAATTCGTTAATGCAGTGGACGCTCCCATCAAGATTCCGCACCTGTTTTACCAATGTCAAATACGTGATTCTCTAGAGGAGGATGCGGTATACTCTGGGCACCCGTATTAACAGTATAACTCTGTTCAAATCAAGCACGGAGACCCTGTACCGGCCAGACTCGCTGGACTGAGACGTTTAATGAACGGGCGGGCAAGAGATTTATATCGTGCGGCATATGAGTACGAAAACGTGTAACAAGTATATCCTATTAGGTATTGCTTATATAGATGTCTCCCCTTCCCCCCAGCCTAATATCCAGGTATACTGTCTGACCGCATTGCGTAGATACGTTAATATAGCAACGTTAACTTTCATTCCTTATAACCTGTTTGGATGCTGGAAAAGGTCAATACCAAGGTTGGCTGTGAATCTTCGAGGTCGCAATAACGTACAGCCTGCTTACTTGGTTCGTGACACGAACATCTCAGGCAAGGAAGGCTCCAAAGGCTCCCCTCTTGCCCCCACGGCTATTGTCTGAGAGACAAATGTTGTAATTGGGGCAAGGCATGTCATCAGAGTTATACAAGTGCGTCTTCGCCACTTTACAAATAGATACATGACATCTCCTGTCTTAATCCCTCTAGGCTGATCTGCAAGGGTACGGGAGGCTGTAGGAGGCTATAAGAACACCGATATTAGGCCAGACGGTCTTCTTTGTGAACCCAATAATCCTTTAGTATTGTCTAGCCTAGCGTATATTTGTTACACGAACTCCATCGCGTCGGCGTTTTGGTCAAAGGATGAGGTAAAGGAGATGCTTGTTTAGCCCCTGATGCAGAGTGTCTCTCAACGACATATAAGTATCAAAGGAGTATTCCTCCGCCCAATGCCTCAATTTCCACTTGTTTTGTTGAATCAACCATGCTTTTTCCAGCTGCCTTGGATATTTCTAGTTACCGAAACCTCAGTTTTGGACGTCAATCTCAGCTTAATAACCTCGCCCATAGCTCCCGTTGGATGATAACAATGCTCAAGACTGGTGCTAAATATTCTGGCCTTGGGCCGAATGCTCCACCAGCTACACGAAATCATGTCTTCATAAAAGACATTGCACTTGCATTCGCGGTGTCGGTACTGCCTCTTCTCGCCTTCTCCGGCTTACTCCTTGGTCTATTGTTCTGGTATCGGGTTATACCGCATGGCCGCAATGATCCGAGACTCCCAGACGAAAATCCGCAGAAAAAAAGCATCGTCTTTATCAGTCTCAGTGCCACTGTATTTACTACTGTGGGTTCGTGGTCAAGCACAGTGGCGCCGCTCTCGCTCCCGTTTATCCTGACGATTGCGTCCTATCCCGCGTCCAGACTGATGATGCGAGCCAGCGACGGCAAGGAAGGGCGAAAACTGCCCACTCCGTATCAGATTGCTCTGATACTCCGGGTCATGTCCAATTCTTCGCTCAGTTCGGTCTGGCAATGCATGAACTACATCTCTGCAAAGGGAAGGAGGGCGCCCATGTCATCTGCCCTCAACATCATGATGTGTACACTTGTTTTGGGCACGATACAGAGGTAACTCTAGACTCCCAAATGTCAAGTTAGCTTGTATAAACTAAACAATAAAGCACGTTCATCGTTGCGACGGATACGTGGCTTCACGTCACGACGGAGACAGTTCCCATGACTGAGTTTCACACAACATTGCCCAAAAATGCTACCTTCGGCATACGCCCAGCCTGCTTCAAGATTGGAGAGGAAAAGCCCAATATATGCAATACTTTTCTGAAAGACGAATTAATGAAAAACGACAGAAACCACATCACCCAAGAGATCTTCTCCAACATGTCTGACAGGGTAATGGTTCAGAACCACGATGAGGGCGGACATCGATACGCCTATATTGCCTCTCCGGCGTATCGTTTCCAGACGGACATTGACTACGTAGCCACAACATTTGCAGTCAAGACGAACTGTACCCCTGCAACATCCAGATGCTTCAAGAACCGTCACTTTCCCAACGTGACCTCCTACAAATGCGACTTTGCCATGGACGAACCCATCGATAAAACGATGAACTTCTTAACCTTGACCGATTTCACGGACTCGACACTCTCCAGCAATCCGAATGACACCTATCACAACTCGAACCCGCATAACTTTGCAGCCATCTTGAATATGGGCTTCGGTTTCGCCCCATCGGGATACGCTGATAGCGACGAGGTATACAGCGGCCCAGACCAACCGACGGTCATCATCATGCTGTGTGAGAGCACTGTATTTGACACAGAGTACGGCTCCGCCAATGGCTCCGTTACGCATTTCTCGACCTCACCCAGCAACTTCTCCTCGACCAATGTCATCGCGGGGACACTGAGGTTCAGTTCTGCTATGGAATATTTCCTCATGCACAATACCATTACCGACTTCTGGGAAAGTAAGACTGCACAGCAACTGGCTGACAGATTTTCCAATACATACAGTCAAGCCATTCTCGCGTCGGCCGGCGCAGCTCTTGAGCCCAGACCTGCAGAGCTAGCCCAACGGCGATCCTCGATACTCGTGGCTGCTGTGCCGGTAGCGCCGCTCGTCTGTCTGCTTGTTGCCAACGTGCTAGTCGTGCTGCTGGCGACTGTTCTCACGGCGGGCGCCCTGATGGAGGTGACCAAGTCCGATGAAGTGGGAGATGTGCAGACGAGACTGAGTATCGACGCCCTCGTGGCGGCGCATTTCGAGACGCGCGGAAAGAAGCCCGGTGTGAGGAAGATAGAAGACATGTTTGAGGAATATCAAGGTGGTGATGGGCCGCGAGTCAAGGTAGAGAAAACGACTGAGGAGAGCTGGAAGCTGGTTAGTTGCGATTCATAACTCTGTAGAATTCGATGCATGCCTATATGGAGGAAGAGACAGTCTACTCACGTGGCGCATCGTTTATGTGAGTTCGCATCTGTAGTATAAGAAGCATAGTCGTTCCGCATTCCCAAGTATAAACTGAGAGGCTTATTTGCTGATTCAAAGGTATGTGGTCATAGCAATTTGTCTGGTGTATTATTATATCCATCTAACGCTGCCGGCACATAAGCCGAGCAGCTCTGAATCTCTTGAACTAAAACATTGCGCAAATCATTTCGCTTTAATATCGTCTCCGCGCTTCACAAGGTTTAATCAAATCGAAATCATTCTCTTGTGCATGCAGTGTAGCTGTTCCACAAGATTACACAGCATCAGCCCTCTAAAGGGTGCGATAAGCCTGCTGGCGGGTATAAGATACGATCCCTCCTCTTCATCGTAGGTAGTATAGAACAAGCTCCGTTTAGCACGGGCATGGGAAGATGCAGCAGTCGATGGGAATCGGGCAGGGGATAATGAAGCAAAAGCGGCCGGGACAGCAATCGCCGTCATCGCCTCCGCGCATGTTGACGTCGTCTGTCGTCTCGGGATGCGGCTGCTGAGCATCTGTTTGCGCACGGTTAACAACGTCTTCTCTGGAATTTCTCTCTACGAGATCGGGAATTGGAGAGACTTGCCCATGGCTTGATGTGACTTTGGCTGTGCATCGTACACGCGTTTAGGCTCCGTCACCTCAACACGATCGCTAGCAGTAGACATGGTGGCAGTGAAATGGAACGAAATAGCAGCACAAGCAAGCAAGCAAGTAGAAAAGACGTCGGCAAAGAGGAAATGGGTAGCTCAAGATGCGATGGTACCTGAGATGTTACTTTCGGTGAGCCAGAGACCAATAGCGTTTGAAGTGTAAGATAAGAGAGAAGAAGAAAAGCCAAGAGTTGGCATCTGACGAGCTTGGTTTCTTTTTCCCTGATGATCAGGGACGCGGCTACGTCATCGACACGTTGCCCTCGCCAGGTCCGTGGATGATCCGCCTTGGCGCTGTTTGCGGGGGAAAAATGATTGTTCCGTCATTTCATTTGATTGAGCCCGATTTGCGTCTTACATCTTACATACAAGCAACAAGGACAAGGGTGGAAGGGAATCATTTTGGAATCATCGAATGATCGAAATGCTCGTCTGACTCTGACCTCGCCAAGCCATAAGGCTGGCGGTTGTTGCAGTGCCGTTGCAGCTAGACCCATATGCAGTAAGCAGCTGGGCTGATGCTTATCACCTTTCAGCTTGCCTCGAAGCATGATGACAAGGACGAGGCCACGCTTGTGCTTCGTGGGGAAGACAAAAGAGGAAAGTAAGCTATTGAATTTGTATCGTATAATGCTCGTATGTTGTAGTGCCAGACCCAGCTGTACGGCTACCCGACTTAGTTACTTGGGCTTGTGCATAGCCTCGCTCGTATATGTGTGTTCCAGCTGCATATGCGAATGGGCTGAGCCTTGAGCGGCAAAGCGGAAACTGCCGCAATGCCACGTTCGGGATTCCCTGGTACCTGTATATTCCCAGATCCTGAAGCTTGGTACTCGGCGGGTGTGTGTCTGTGCAGTTCAAGTTCCACGTGTTTGACGTTGCAGTCAAGGAATCAGTTCCTTGTCAATTAATCCTCTTGCATGAGTTGGGTACAGGGGATGGCCACAATAGTAAACAACCTCTCAAAGACGTGCATCACTTGTATACAAGCATATGTACATTCTACCGACGGGTTAGTTGGGGGGCCTCCGTCTGGGTTCTGGAATAGGGGGCACTGGCTAGAAGATTTTGGCATAACAAATCTTACCACAATGCTATCTGCCATGTCAGTGTCCCCCGGAAAGCAGAGTAATACTGGTTTTGCTGCTGTGATAAGACTGATGTAACCACTGTCTAGACATAGGCTGAGTGATGTAATAGAACATGAAAATACTATCTTGCTGATGAGCAATACGTTTATTGCGAAATCCCACGCAGTCGAGCCAACAGTTTATCTGCGAACCGGTCTCTCGGGCACCATTATATACCCGATACCATCTAGTACCTTAGTTATTCATCAGCTACATTTACACGGTGCCTAATAGATACAGGCAGTACCAGGTATGAATGTAATCATAAGTATATATACAGTAACACCGTGTGGCAACAACTCTTACACGTCAATATATTGCTCATGACACAAATTCAAGTCAATCACTAAGCACAATTGTATCTGTTCGCTGGTTGATCCCAAAGTAGACGTATGTATTTCATATTCCCGGTTGGTGTGGAAATTAAAACTGGACGGGCTTGCCAAATCCATCTCGCCGAACATGAATCGGATCCTTTACATCCAGAGTTGGACAAAATCAGCGCATTGCGTCAACAGAGACGTGTACCGGCTGCAGATACAGGCTCTCCTATTACATTCTTGTCGGGTCCCCGCCCAATCATTGTCCGGTTAATATCAAAATCAACAATCATCACACTGATTTGACTAATTTAGCATCTCCTTCTGCATTTTCTCATGGGCAGACATGATACACAACAGGGGACAGTGGACGAAAAGCCCCAATTGCTCATGCTCAGTGTCACTTGGCCTTTGATTGTTTAATTATTCGCCCCTTGAATCCACGAAACGCCTCTCCCGAAAGCTTCGTGCCAGGAGATGGAAGAACGTGTCCGATTGTTTTCCTGCAGTCAGTCTTCAATGACAAGCAGCATCCCCTATTTCATAGAATCAGAGTCAGTAAATTGAGTCAATCATCATTCATCAACCAACAAACAAATGCATCAACATCAATTTTGGTAATAGCATACAATTCCATCTGTACGACTGTCAAAAGTGGTCAATGGTGAGTACATGTACTTCTAATCTCCTTCCACGCCGGGGTGAGTCACCGGAACTCTGGCGCCCCCACTATGACTCTATCGCCGACACATACACGCACATACAGACAGAAAAAAAAGGGTTGAACCAACAACACTCCATGAGTTGATGAAGAAAATGGTGTTTCCATAGTTGGTAATCGTCGGGATTCTCTTCTGCCCCGAGACAAGAGAGGAAGAGGCCAAGGCGCTACTGGAGAGCGCTTTGTAATTGCCAGTACCGTATCCCATGTCTTTGCATCATGCTGTCAGGTACTTTTCGCATGTAAGGTAGAGAATAGTTGAAAATAAATTGATCATATTCGCTTTTCTGCATATAAAACATCATGCTTCCTAGCTTGAACGATTTTCTTGTCTTTTCCAATCACCAGTATTCAAAAGGACATCCCTTTTCTTGTCTTACTGTAGAATACGCAAGTCTAGAGACGTATTACACCTGCGTGATACAATATCTCTGGATTGCAAAATCTTCTCTTTGGTTTTCCTTCTACTTCCATCTTCGTCTGGGTGGCAAGAAGGCTTGAAGACATGATCAGGATGACATTGAACTGTCTAGTTGTGTCTGAGAGATGAGACTGTTTGGCTGCTCAGCTAATGGCCCCTGTGTTTTGGTAAGCCTATTTATGTTTGCCCTATCATCTAGCACATTCACCCCTGAATTTATTGTGCCTCCTGTCGAATATGACAGCGGTGGTCAGCCATGATGAGGCGAAAGAAGTTGAAAAAAATCCATGAAATATCTTGTTCACAATTAAGGAAGAGAATCGACATCGTCTGAGCAACCACGAGAAGCAAATATGATTTAAAAACACCATCTTTTTGTTTTTCCAATTCTGTATTGGTCATCATTGATGACTTTTTAAATGCCCCCCCATCTATATGCGGAAGGATTGTAGCGCTAACATGGGTTTTTTATATATGACAAACCCGACGACTTCGGTAGCATTTGGCACCTTTTTGGTTCAGGATCCAATGCCAGGTAAATCGACAAAGGTAACATCATAAAAACAATAGGAGGAATAATAATAAAAGACTTGAATGAAAACAATGTGCCCTCCCAATGACCGGCTCCCGAGGTCGTTTCTCCCGTGAACACCATGTGACATAAAAGATCTAATCCCCGAAAGATCCAACTGAAAAAAAGAAAAAGCATTTCCGTGAGATGGATCAAAAAAAGAAAAAAAAAATTCAGTACAGGTTAAGCGTTGTGGGTATGTGGTTGCAGTAGAGTGAGTGCGTCGTTGAGGGCTTCACCCTCTCTTTGGTGTTATACAGGGGTGTATGTATGTAATCGCGCAAAGAGCGAGCATGTAAGAGGGTGGCATGTTCACTTTCTTCCCAGAACTTCTCTTAGAGCTTCAACTTCGGCTTCGCGCCTAGCCAGCTTAAGCTTGAGTTCGTCGCGCTCCCCAGTCATGTCACTCAACGCCCGCTCCAAGTCGGCTATCCGGTCAAGGCGTTTCTGACGATACTTTCGTGCCGCCATCGTATTGCGCTGCCGTTTAATGGCGGCTTGCGCTTCGTCGCTGCAAGCTTCAAGTTCATCGCCGTCTGTTGATCGGGTTGTGCTGCGATGCTTTGAATGAGAGCCTCCGCTATGTGTGCTGGTGGGAGAGTCCTGGCGGTAATGGTGGGGGGTTGGTGTTGACGCTGACGAGGATGGCGGCATCACATTGGCCATCTGTTGCGCCGGCATCTGGAAAAAGACGCTGTTGGCGCCCTCTGAGGAATAGGTAGGGGCTGACATGCCGAGCCTGTCTTCATGCTGTTGATTGTGTGGTACATGTATCCGGGCAGCATGGTGAAGACCTGTGTCGAAAAGATGGTGATGGTGATGTTGTTGTTGCGCTGAGAAGAATGCTTCTGGAGGGCACATGTCTTCGGTTAACACTTGGTCTGGCCAACACTTGAACGTGAATTCTGGATTATCGACCATGATGGGCGAAGGAGTATAAAATGAAGTCATACACAGCAATAAGACTGGAAAACAACGGCAATGGTATGGGTCCCGCCCGGAGTAATGCGCTTGTGTCTATGTGTGTATGGAGCATGTATGTACGTGTAACAAAGAGGGAGACGACATCCTCGACAATATATGTAAACACCTTTTTTCCAAAGAGGTGGTAATATGACTTATGACATAATTGAAGCAGCAGACCAGGTGTATCGCAAACCATCGTATTGAGAATAAGAAATAGTCGACATACCTGATGGGTCCATGCTTGCTTGCTTGCAGAAACGAGTCAAGCAAGCTGAAGAAAAGGCGGGAAGTGAGACGAAAGTGACAACGGCAACGGGACCTGTAATCAAATCCTTCGGTTTCGCCTACGGCGGTGCTGTGCAATGCTAACCGCGAGAGGAAATGGACATTGGAGGGTGAGAGGCTGTAACTTGGTGTGTCTTGTTCGTATTTGGCAAGCTTTTGGCTTCGATCTCTGTGTCTGCACGTCTTCCTTTTCTGGGGATTCAGCTCTTATGTGCTGGACTCAATAGTCTGAGTCTGGACAAAGTGAGATGGTGGGCGCACGGCTGATATATATCGAGCCACGTGCACATTGGCATGCACTCAATTTCGACGGGTATTAATGCTGCAACACACACGAATGGATACGGCCTAGTACATGGAATTGGGTAGATTCGACTCCAGTTGCTTGTACGAGGGAAAGAGGGAGTACATGTACAGCACAGTAGGCGATACTACCGGGGAGGTATTGGGTGGACTAAGGCAGACAAGCTCAGTCCAGATTCAATGGACAGGAGAGAGTGCCGGCACTTTTACATGTGCACTGTATGTAAGTAGGCGGTCGGTTGCTTTTTAGTAGAGCCAGCAAGCAACTTGAATGGGGATGCAGAGTTAACGCGGCAGCGGATTTGCAGATTCCGGCCTCCCCCCCCTTGACACGCTGACGGCTCCAATGCCACTTGATGCTGCCAGCTTACATCCGACTGTGCACGCGGCATCAGCCCTCCGGTTGCACAACTTGGGAACTTGGACGGACTAGCAGAATCCGGCTTCGTGACTAAGCCCGGAACTCGCTGCAACAGGAGCCGTGATAGGGAATGCCCTGGGAGCACTCCCGTAATTCGATCTGTCTTTGTGCGTGCTAGCCTTGCCTTGTCACTGCCTTGCCTGCCTCTCTGGAGCACGAGGTTCCACACCTTGCTGACAATGCCGGGGGTCGCGAAAGACGCAAGATGCTCTGCGAATACATGGCATGTTTACGGAGTACAGTGGTCTCTGTCTGTCACAATTGGGCACGCGAGACTCCGCAAGAGGTGCTTCACAAGTCTCAAGTCTGTGTGTGCTGCTCTCGGTTGATGGAGCGGTCAGGGTCAGCCAAGCGGTCAGCCTAGCAATTGGGCACATACGAGCCCATGGGAGGTTTCGGCGCTATTTTCTACATTATGCATTGATTTGGCCTAGCGATGATTGAACCCTTTCGAAATCCGGCACTCGACTTACAACAGCATCAGCTTGTGAAGTGTGGTTGAGTACGAGTAGAAACATGTGGCAAGGTTACATGGAAAACAATCATGCAACTCCTTGAATAGGAATGTCGATTGCCTCATATACATCCATCTCATACAGTAGAGAGAGCCTGAAATGGAATAATACTGTGCGTTGCTCCAAGGTGGTGTATAAAAGAAACGCGCCATATTTGTAGTCCGAATTCGAACTTCGCCAAGCAACAACCTTCCGGCGCAAAATGCGCGGCGACTTAGCAGGTTCATTAGCAAAATCCCTCAAGGCACAACATTAGGCTGCAGCATTGACGCCCTTTGATGGTCAATTTCAGTCTCTTTTTTTTTTCGCTTTGCTCTGGAAGTGAAAAAAGGGCTGCTTATGGTGTCATGCGTATTGTCCGGACACTAGACAGGGGGCAACAGACAGTGGAAGTGCCGAATATGGCAATCCCTGGTTAGGAAACAGACGATCAAGATTCAGGCAGAGATTCAAAGAGCATGGGGTCTCGTCAACCTGAGCAGTCAAGTCAACAGGAGACTGATCGTCGAGCCCAATTGCTCTGAATTTCCACTCAAGCTTTGGTTCGGTGGTTATTGACAAAGGAACACCGGACAAAGTATCCGACGATACCCTACCGTGGATACACAGACTCCACGCCTCGCCAGAAACCCCCCGAGCCACTCCTTAGCGCCGTGGGACAGCCCGTAGCGGCCGATAGGGCTGGCTTTTGATGGGCGGATTCGGGGGCGTTGGGGGAGTGCGAGGTGCTGTGGGTGCTGCTATGGAACTCTAGTGTGTCGAGGAGGTTGTATTGACTATTTGTACTTGAGCCAGTGGCAAACATCAACGTGGTACTCCTTGCCTGTAAGAGGAGGAGGATTGAGATATGCCGCCGACATGGAGTAGCGTCGTAACCGGAAAAATTCGGTGTCTATTCATTCCTGGGTAGTAGTACTGTGCTCAGTGCTCCGTACTTACTGTACTGTAGATGATATCTTTGCAGATAGAGCGGCGTTTTAGGGCCAGGGAGGTGCATGTAAGCGAGAATGTTCCATACGCTTGGTGCGGCTTACGCTCCGGCATCTACACAAAATCTCACGGAACACGGCATATATATATCACGGCATCGATAGGAACTGGTCGGTTGCAACCAGTTCCGAATCAAGGGATAAACTTAAAGATATGCACAGTGGATTGGTCTTGTCGAAATGGCTCATAAAGGCCTATAATCACCGGGAAACTCTATAAAATGCGGCTCTCAACATGCCCATGTGAAACCAGTTGAGAGCAGGCTTCAATTTGACAACTAACACGTAGATGGCTCAACACGGAGTGCGGATTCTGCATATTGGTCAATTCAAGTTGGTCCATTTAGCTCCGTACTTCAGTCTTTCACGCGCAAGTGCGGATTGGCGGCATTCGTCTATTCAAGTCTTGTGCTGACCTTCTATTGTTTGGAGTAGCTTCGCACATTGCCCGTATTTCGTCAAATCACAGTTTCTTAACAATACTTTCCTTTTCCCTCGCAGCTAAAAGTGTTTCATTCTCCAACAACAGCATTTAGCAATGTATTGGTTCCAACTATGGTCTGGTGATATGTAACCAGGCATTGTTTATCCTCCGCAACATGTGGCCAAAACGACAACTCAACTCAGTTAAGCAAAGAGTAAGAAAGAAAGAAAGGATAAAAGAAGAGGCTCAAAACAATTCCCCACGTCTCTCATCTTGCCCAATTTCGTCACCTATGTCGGTCTTCAAAGTCACCATCGGCGTTCTAATGCCGACGCTACGTCTCCATGTCTGGATTCAATGGCAACATCAATGGAAATAGCCCGGCACTTTCATCCGCCTGCATTCTGTGGAGATTAACCACATGCAAGCACGGAGAAGATTGTCGGTGCGTTAAAGCCTAAACGCCGTACCCGGCCCGCACCTCTCCGTGTGTCAAGTCGTATAAGCTGACGCCAACTAAACTACATACAGTATATGTACGCTTCTGTGAGAACACGAATGATTTGAAGTCTTCCGTGTGGCTATCTGCAGTGTTCCGTCCTCCGCATTTCCTCCCGCTGGGGTTGACTAGTTATCCTTCTATTGGTAATATGGATAATCTTAACTCCGAGATCTACCGTCCCGTGTAGTATTCAAGGATATGCCAGTTCAACATAGTAACGCACCAATGATATGCCTATCGGCATGGTCATCAACCATCTCACGGTTGTTTTCGGCTAAGTATATCGGACTCGTTTGCTTGGAGTTCACATGTTGAGGGCAGATCTAGCCGATAGAACGAGGCGCAATTGAAGTTTCATTCGGTTCTATCGGATGCGGAATCCTATGGAAATCCACGTAACCTTCAATCAGGCCCTTACATACTCTGCGTTCGTTGTCGTGCCATGCCCAATGGAAATAAGTCCGTTCCCACAAGTCATATGTCCAAGTTATTCATGGTCTTCGGTGTCTTTAAGCAGCTCGCAATAAGGCAGCTTCCATCCAGCCCGCGCCATGGAAGCGTGCACCTGTTTGCTCGAAGTAGACTCCAAGCAAAGGGTGCGGAAATACACGTCTTCGGTTTTATTCAAGTGCGGCATTGACAACGCCATTGGCAAAGTCTGTGATGAAAAACAAGCGATATATGCTCGTATATCCTTTAGCAGACTTTGGCTCGGTGCAACTCCAGCCGGGTCCGTGTCGCTAGACCATAGAAAACGCGGCAGACCTGCTGTTTTTGAGATTGGTACAAAAGGTAGCAAAGCCCCAGTCGATAACACTAC